TGTCTTCGCATTAACAAAAAACTCAGACATCAGATGAATGTAATACAAATATCTGGGAAAAATAAAGCTTGAAAACAATTCTCCTATATAACTTTGTTGTGAACAGCATCCTTGAGTTAAAGTTTATTGATGTATTATTTTGAGTATTATTTTGGTACACTCCATGAAGTACATCATGGTTTCACGAGAGGTGGATCCTGTATAGCAAGACTACTATCACCTTGAGACGATTGGACACCATGCTGCGATATGAATATTCCAGTCCGTGTTATCCTCCTGGACTTTGAGAACGCATTTGACACGGTTCCCCAAGACCTTCTCCTATACAGAAGAAGTCAGGCAGGCATAAGCTGGCCGGTCTTGCCATAGTTGGAGGACTGCCTTCATGAAAGGAAATTCTGCACTAAAGTCAGTCGAGTCCGATCATCCTGACACAGCTCGTCATCAAGAGTGTCGCCGGAACCATTGATGTTTTTGATTTTTATCAATGATCAACCATGCCGTCTAAGCCGCCCGACTCTTCCTTACGCCAATGACGTGAAGATCTGGAGAGCAATCAATTGCTCGAAATACGCGGATAGACTACAGGTAGACATAGAACTTCTGAAAGACTGGGTGGTGGCCAGTGGTCTGACTTTCAACCTGAAGAAGGGAGAAGTAGTGAAATTACGTACCTGTAGGCTGTAGAATGTAAGTTGCACCCTGTGCAACGAAAGCTTTTCCTGCACAACGTCGGAGCGTGACTTAGGTCTGGTTCTAACGGGAAAAATAGACACAAGTGTCAATTACACGGGGGGTGTAGCGAGGGCATATGCGGTCATACACCTCACACACAGACAGTTGGGTGCACTCTCTTCCGAGCTCTGTCTGAGGCTGTACAAAACAAACGTCAGACCAGACTATGAAGTGCGCAATATCACTACGCCCTCACTACTTAGAAGAGACGGGAACCTTTTGGATAGAGTCCAAAGACGGGCAACAAATGACTTAACGCGGTACGTTCAACGTTTTCGTTACATTTTTAGCTTGATCGCTATATATTTCTATTTTTGCTGTGAGACTCGCACAAGTGTTTTTGCAGATCCATAATTGTAACCAATAACTCTATCAATAATTAGTCATGGTTAATCATACGAGAATCCACGAACTCAGTCACCTGTTAACCTGATAACTGATCGCACATGTATGCTCGCAACAACGAGCAACACTACTCCCACAACATATGAAAGTGAGATGCACAGCTTGCCAGTACGCCGCAAGCGTAGAACTGTCGTTTCACTACCATCTACTGTGGCCGGAAGTGACAATAAAAATATACTGACAACTAGTAGTAGCGGGCGTTGAAATGGCATATCCCCTGTTTGAAGTGGCGCCTCCACCTTTACCTTGAGGACATTTGCGCGGTCTAGTTGATTTCAGTATGGCTGATTTGTTTCGTTTGATCTAGGTAGCTACATTTGACGTGATTCTGGTTTTTATTTGGCTTGAACTGTGTTGATTTTGTTAAGAATAGTCGTCAAAAGCTGTCTCTAAGCCTGAAGGCATTTATCGTGCAGGAGGATACTTGGGAATATTTCATGAACGCACGGCTTCCAGCTGCGGCGGGAGTAAAGTGGAACCAACTGATTCCATCTCGCTAGTGCCGAACAATAGGAAGCTCAAGAATTATAGGAAAGAAAAAAAAGTACTGTGCTTAGTGATAATGTCCCAAAGGCCGTAAACTCTGATAAGATTGTTAAACCTTCGGACTCAAATTACAGTATAGTAATTTGGAACTTGGAGGAATTGAAAAAGGTAGATTTAGCTGCTCGACATGCTGATGATCTCGAGGTAGTTAGTTCGATCATCCGTGAAATACTTTCAGAAAAAACACATGGAGTTCACATAAGGAAAGTCATCAGAACCGATAAACGAATCGTCGATGCAACGGAAAGTTCCCCACGACTGCTGAAGACAGTACTGGGAAACGAGATGGAGAAAAGTATTATTCTCAACAAAGCATTCAAGATCAAGAATAAAAATATGAGAATTAGGTCAAAGTGGTCTCTGGAAGATAGAATTAGGAGAAGAGAAGCAGTGACCCGATTAGATAAAGGTGAAAAAGACCTCAAACTGTTGGGTTTTCGGGTAGTGAGGTCTCGGAAACCTATGTTGCCCAGACCTCTGTTCATAAGTCGAATGACACACATAGGTAATAATAATAATATTAATTTTATTTCTGGAACAGAAACCAGCCATAAAATTATTATTATTATTACTTATATGTGTCATTCGACTTATGAACAGAGGTCTGGGCAACATAGGTTTCCGAGACCTCTCGCAGTATGCTACACGAACGCTCGTAGTCTCAGGAATAAGCTTCTCGAACTAGGAGTGTTGACTGAGAAACTACAGCCGGATGTGATTGCTATCACTGAAACATGGTTGTTAGTGGGTATAGACTTAACTCCACTCATACCTGGGTGCATCTGCATTAGAGTAGACAGAGTAAGTAGTCGCAAAGGTGGAAGTTGCTCTATACATCCGAGATGACATAGGAATTAGGTCGACGTTGTCGGAAGCTCATGACAGCGGTACATATGAAGCCACAGGTTGTGTCATTAACTTGAACAAAGGCACTGTAACGATTGGGGCTATTTATAGAACTCCTATCAGCCAAGCTGACGATTTCGTTCTAAATCACCTCAGGACTTGGAGTAGAAAGAGTAGGTGTCTAATAGTAGGTGACTTTAACGCCCCGCATATTAATTGGGAGGAATTAACGTCAGATACTTCTTACAATTCTTTTAACAGGGAACTCATACTGGCAGTAGTTGAATGCGCACTTGTGCAGCATATAGGTGCACCAACACGATACCATCCTGAACATGATCCGTCCACTCTAGACTTGGTGCTAACACACCAGAAGGAGGATGTCGGTGACATTAGGCGCCGGGCGCCGCTAGGCAGTAGTGACCACATGGTTATCACCTTTATGTTTAGGATTCAGGCCGTCATGCATAGGTTAACAGCTGCTCGCCAAAACATTTGGAAAGCGAATATATCTGCAATCCGAAATGCAGCAACCCTTGCTGACTGGTCTGTTAATACATACCAGACTTTCGAGGAGGCTTGGATGGGATTTAGGAACACACTAGAGTGCGTCACTGCACCCTTTGTACCTTGGTCTACGTCTCGAAAACTATCTCATAAACCAGCTTGGATTAGCAATGAAATAGGAGGTTACCAAGAAAACGAAAGAACTTATGGGACCGGTTTGCTGTGACTGGGAGGGATGAGTTTTGGATGGAATACCGCAAAGTTCGAAACATTTGTAAGTATGAGATTGACAAAAGTCGTATATAGTATGAGAGACAGTTTGCGCTGGATTGTGTGCATTATCCAAAAAGACTGTACTCGTATATCAAACGCAGGACTAAAGCTGGCAGTGGTATACCGTCCCTCATTAGCAACACAGGAGAGGCTGCCAAGTCAGGCGAAACAAAAGCTGAGAAGCTCTCCGAATACTTTTGCGATGTTTTCTCGCCTGGTCGTACCATCCCAGGAGTGTAGCAAGCTAACTGATGTAGCCCCTAAAATGCCACAACTGTGGTAGATGATGCAGTGGTTCTGAAACTACTGTCTAAGTTGAGGCCCGGTAAATCACCTGGACCAGACGGACTTCACCCTAGATTGCTAATCTCCTTGACCCAAGCTAGGCTACCCAGGGACTGGGAAGATGTTTTTATAAGCCCCATCTTCAAAGATGGGAACAGGCAGTTAGTATCTAACTACCGGCCTGTAAGTCTGACCTGCATTATAGCAAAGGTGTTAGAAAAACTCATAAGGGACCAGCTCTTAGCTCATACGGAAAAACATGGCTTACTGGCAGTGGAACAGCATGGATTCCGACCAGGTCGATCCTGCTTGACAAACTTACTGTTAGCTAGGAGATTGGGTCGAGGCCAGAGATAAAAACCATCTACTGGACGTTGTATTTATCGATCTTGGTAAAGCACTCGATAAGGTATCCCGCTACCTTCTCCTTAGTAAACCTAAACGTTTTCGATTAGACCAACGCTGATGTGAGTGGTTTGGTGACTACCTGATGGATAGTAGGCAGAAGGTAAGGGTTAATGGTGGACTGTCAGGGTGGAAAGCAGTACTCAGTGGAGTACCTCAGGGAACTGTGCTTGGTCCTCTGCTATTCCTATTATACCTAAATGAACTGCCGAAAATTCTTACCCCATATTCCTTATTATTTACGGACGATATTAAGTTATGGATGGTTGGTACTACAAAACGATCTAGATAAATTAGCTGAATAGGGTAACCTCTGGAGTCTGGAAATTAATCCCAAGAAAAGTGGGGCAATGCATCTAGGTCAGAGATCTTATACGTCGGACTCCCTGGGAAACACAGAACTACCAGATGTTAAGGGACGAAAGAACTTAGGAATTATTGTAAGCTATGACTTAAAAACAAAGGCAAATTGTAATGGAGCCGCAGCTAAGGCTTTCTGAATGCTATGGGCACCTCAAAGGGCTTTCAAGAGATTGGGTGAGAGTATGTTCAAAATATTCTATGCAACATATGTCAAACCTCATCTAGAGTACAACATACAAGCGGCGAGTCCATGCTTCAAAAAGGAGGCACATATCCTGGAAAGAGTACAAAGACTAGGAACCAAATTAGTTAGTGGTATCTCACACCTTCCTTATGATAAGAGGATGGAACACATAAATCTCTTCCCATTATCATACCGAAGGAAGAGAGGCAACTTAATTTTGGCATACCGTATGTTAAAGGGTGATCTAGGGATTTACCTTTCAAACCTTTTCTCTCCCTCTAGGGTACATTTACGGGGTCACCAGAAGATGGTGCTCAAACCGAGGTTGAATAAAATACGGTTGGAGTTTAGATTCTCTCACAGAGTGGTCAATGACTGGAACTTCTTACCTGACCCAGTAGTAACAGCTCCATCGGTGAACGCTTTCAAAGAGAAACTGGATCCCTGCAGAGATATATATCGCGAGGACTAACATAGGCAACAAGAGCCTTCTGTCCTTATAATCTGAATCTGGTTTTGAAAGTTTTTACCACTAGGTCAGTTCATTCACTCACTTCATTGTAAAAACGATATTGGATATTGGATATCAAGTGTGCAATGTGGCGGACCTAATTGTAGACTAAGTTGTTGATTGTATATCCTGCTCGAATGCAAAATAATGTGGAAAATTTCTGAATCTAGTTCAGTTTGCAAGGAGATTCTGTAAGTCCTGCTTCCAGTTGTTATAATACTCTGGTGGATTATAAGGTTGCACCCGCTGGAATTAAAACCACTGACCTGTTGTTAACATTTTTCTCATGTCGGATGCTGATACCGCGTCGTTGCTCAAGTTGACTGAAAATGTACTTCAGGATTATCGAAGCCTTATTTCAGAGACAAAGAGGCGATTTGTCCCCATTAAAGAAGTAACTGATATACATACAGTCAATATTTTAGGCTGCGGAGTTGCAAATTCCAAAACTAAGAGCGATCGTAAATAGTGATTCTGATCTCCGAGAAAGTGAGTGTCTTAATTGTCTATCGCTGCATACTTTAGGTCTCAAAGCATCATGCGGCTCTCTGATATCACCCTTCTTAAGTGGTTGTCTTTCAAAAAATCAGAAAGTAATAGTACTGTGTATGACAGCTCTGCAGCGTTTCATAAACCAAAAGTGTTTGTCAGAGGTAAATCTATTTTTTATTATATGTCTAGGATGCTGCTCAATCCATCATTGATACGCTCTGGCAACTGACAGAGTCAAATCTGGAAGAACTGCGTCTATTGCAAACCACGATACTACTCCTCACAAGCTCACCCTTGGTTCGAGATTCCCTACTTGCCAAGGTAATTTTAAAGCTGCCTATTTTTCGGCCTAATGAGTTTTACCAAACGTTCTTCCAAAAGCACCATCCTGCATGGTTGATTTTTGAAGATTATGAGGGGTAACTAAGGTTTTTAAATGTAGTTATTTAACGGTCAGCCTTAATTGTAGGTAAGATTTTATCTCGACTATTGACACCGTGTTGTGGTCGAAGGGCTATCAGTTAATATTACTGTATAACGCTGTGTGATTTGTCAAAATGAAATCTTATGGATAACGTTGTTATTGCTATCACAGTGCCCATGTTGTATACGTACATTGACGGTCAACTTTATTTCTTCAGCCAATATTGAAGTGTATGCATCGATTTTACATTTGATTCCTGTTTAATTCTCTAGTTGCAATGGTTTCAGTGTGAGTATATTAGTTTCTTGTATGTGTAAGTTTGATCTAATGGTATATTCAACCTAAGCGTAGATATATGTTAGTTAACGAGTCTCTATTAGGAGTAGACGTTTTATTTTTTAGAAGATAGATGTTTATGTTTAATCGTGTGTTAAAAGTCTCGGAAAGCACAAGTAAACTTAACGCGTCCTCCATCAAATTTTAATAGGTAATGGTTCATTGGGAGCATAAACTTTTGGTGTAGTTTTGCTACAGTTTTCGTGTTTGTCTGCTTCAATTGTTGATGTATGACTTTCTTTCCATAATTGGATTCAATAGAGCCATTGATTTCTTTCAGGTAAACTAGAAGGTGTGAATAGGTACCGTTTTATTTTTGGTTCTCAGTTTGTTATTGTAGCTGTTTCATTCGTTGCAGTTTGTATCCTGGTGTTTGTTTTCTTGTTCTGTTAAGGTGTGACTTTGAGATTTTGATGTCTGTCAAAATTTTGATTTTAGATGGTGATATATTTAGCTCTTTTTGTTGTTTTCGGATTTTGTAAGTGTGTTGCAAAGCTGAAACCCTTAATTACTTAAGAAATATCTTATAAGGTAAAGGTATACGATCTGGATGATGTTTTCGATTACTAGTCTGATTGATCTATTTTTGTTGCTATAAGTGTTACAAAACTAATATCTTTGTTTCACAAAAACGCCTGACGCTTTTGTATCATTAATAGAGTATCTTATGTGTCACTGTAATACTGTGTCATACTTGAAATGTATGTGAATCAGAACATTTTTGCTTTTTTTAAAATACTTTTCTTTCATTTATTCTATAGGCTTTTACTATTTGTTTAAAACTGCATCTTTCGAAGACACCAGCTACTGTAAACACGGCCGCAGCAGCTGTACGCCAATGTGCTGGCACTATTTTTGACCGTGTAATTAAAGATGAGCTGGTTGTGCAACCTGTGGACTCTACTAAAGAAAGAACACCTTGTAAGTTTATGTTTCCAAATTAATGAAGACGTTTTCAGCACTTCAAAGTTTAACTATTTATTGTATTTATAAAAATACTCCCCTAATAATTTTCTGTTTCTTGAATAACATAAATTTCATTGTTTCTTCACAATTTATCAGAGCCGTTCAATAAAATTTAGTCTGTCTTACAGTGATGTGTTGTTAGATAAGTTTAATATACTTCTACCTTCCTTGTGCACTTTTACACACACAGAGTTTTATAAATAATCAGTTAATACTTATTATTTAACAATAATAGTGATAATGAGCATTCTATGTTTCAGCTACAGTTGATGATGTACTCCTTGTCAATCCTAAAGAATTGAAGCCATCTGAAAGAGATGCATATATGCTATTTCAGGTAAGCATTCAAAACGCATTTACCTAATGCATGTCTATATATATAGTAGTAAGTCTAGACATTCTACACACGTTGCAGTTATAATATTGAATTTCTAACATTTCTGTTTCTCTGTTGAGAAAAACACAACAATAAACGCATAAGGCCTTAGAGTTAGCACAAAATTCTTTTTACGATAGCATTCCTTCTCAATAGGTATACAACTCTGTGAAGATTGATACCCTTGATTGCATATTAGTGTAGGTATTCTTTAGTGTATCAACTGGTAAGCTCAAATGAAGACTGAATTGTAAAGTAAGGTTCTAGTGCAATGCTGGGTTATCTGTGTTACTACTTATCAATAATTGTACTGTTGTTGTCCAAGTGACTTATCATAGTCTGGTCTACTAAAATTTTCACTTCAACTGACGTTTTGTTTTTATTCCATTTTGTTTTCATCTAATTATTATTATTATTACTGGGGAAGATTTGCTGACTATTTGTTTTGATATGTTTACCTTTTCTATAGGATATTTGCTTACTGATGAGCGATGATTCATGCGTTTGGTTGCGTGGTCCAATACAACTAAACAAGGTTTTAGGCTTGGAGTTAATAGAATCTCTCATTTTCTCATATCCTAGTTTATTCTGTCAAGTAAGTACCTTTTCTTAATTCGGTATTGTCGAATGCTAAAATTTCTAATAAGCTTTTGATAACAATATTGAATTTGGATATCAGTTTTAGTAATTAAAAAATTATTGTTCTAAGAAGCTAAGTAACATTGCTATATATCTCAGTGTGAATATACACTTATATTGTCATATGAAAACGCTCACATAGTTACCGTGGTTTGTAATAATGCAATGTCACTAGCTCGTTTCATATATGTGCGTATGGTTAGCCTACTGTTTTGATATTCAGACAGTTTGGTTAACATTCTTATACTAAATCTCTGAGTCTAGTGATGCAGTGACTCCACTTCAGGTGTTTTTTTTTCATGGATCGAATATGCATTTACACAAAGCAGAGTATGTATTATAACGTCTATTTTAATGTATTAAAATTAAGGGAATTCACGTAAATTAATACTCCTTCCTGTTGTTGTTTTTGTTTTGTTTTTAAAATCTAGCACCCAGCATTTGCATATTTGTTGAAGACAAATTTATGTCCCCTGGTGATTAAATTATTTTCCCCCAGTTTGAAATTACATTCAACGCCTTTAGCTGCATCCAGTAGCGGTGGTGGCGGCGGGATAGCAGATGTTGCCTCAGCTGCATTTGCTGCTGCATCAGCAGCACTGTCCAGTGTCAGCGGCGTGGCGTCATCCTCTGGAATTTCGAATGACTTGATGATAAATGGTGAAAAACCGAATTTTGCACTATTTGTTCGTTTAAAACGTTTGATTATCGTCATTGTCAACCATTATTTTCATCTATTAGTAAGTTTAGTGCAATATTTTGTACTAAATAAATAATACGTTATGTATGTTAAATTGATAACATTATTTGATAACCCACTTAACTTTGATAACACAAATGGGTCTTTGTAGAAGAATAGGAATCAGGAAGTTTGAAACGTCTTGCAACATTGTCTGAAGAAGAAGGCTAACTAAAACAACAACCTTTCTGTTAAACGTACACATATTGAAATTCTGCATGAACTGTTTTTGTTTCTTCATATCTTTGTGTTTCGAGTGGGACATTGGACCTCAAGGTTGAGTATTATTGATGTAAGTATAAAACTTAGGTACTGTGGTAGAGTATAACTCCATTATAGATAAGATTTCATTTTGATAGGTCACACAGTGTTACACAGTAATATTAACTGATGACCACGTTTCGAGGATAAATTATTGCTCATAATCATATCAAACTACTCACACAACTTTTTCCTTCATTTATATTATTATTATTGTTTCCTTTAATTCCTAGAGGAACATAGGAAAATTCAGAAATAATAATATGAGTGTTATTGATCAAATACAATCAGAAGGGAAATAAGACGAGTGTTTTTATAGTCAAAATAAGTAACTTGTTAGAATGTTGTAATGTGCTTGAATTGAAATAGAATTTTGAGATTATTTATTATCCTCTGGCGGTAATAATATCTTCCATATTTCTGGTATTTGTATTGAGTCATTTCTGTTGCACGTGTTGGAAGTAGACTCACTGAACCAGGATTCAGTGATCGATCTCTCTCTCTCTCCACCTACATAGATCACTTCTTAGAATCTTAACCCTCTCCCACCCTGTTGTGTGGTTGTGTGTTAATGCATGTAGTGCAATTGTTGAGCTATTCCCTAAATTACTTGTCTTCTCGGGGTCAACCATTCTTACCTTAGCCAAATTCTTATGTTCCGCCAATCTGATTACCCCCGATCTACTAGTTTGACCTATAAAGTTGACCTCTCAGTTATTGCAGGGTATTTTTTAAATTATATTATTTTGTTTAATTGGGTCCACCGAATCTTCTAGCCTACATAGCTTGTCTCTGAGTGAGTTTGTAGGTTTGAATGCCACCCTAATTCCTGCTTTATTATGAATCCTACGTAGGGTCTCAGATGTCCCCTCCTTATATGGTATAACAGTAGATGCCTTATATTCTCTCTTATTTATGTTACTGTTATTACTTACACCATTATTTTTTATTTTCCTTTGGACCTTTTCTGGTCTTCCTAATGAATTTTGTAGGATAGTTATTTGATACCAACGCTTCTTCTATCTGTTTCATGTCATCATTTAGGTCTTTTTTTGTACTACTTAATGCTACTGCTTGGTTTGTTAGACAGACACTTAACTAAGCCTGCCTTCCCAGACAGATAACGGATGAGATGAATTAAAGTTTAAATATTTTGTAGATTTGAATTCACGTACATCATAAAATTCTAACAAGTTACTTATTATGACTAAAAACACTCGTCTTATTTCCCATCTGATTGCATTTGATCAATAACACATATTATTATTTCTGAATGTACCTAATCTTATATTGAATTTTATTCATCAATTTTTCCACTCATGTATATAAATGAAGCAAGAAAGTTGTGTGAGTGAGTGACTTGATATGATTATGAGCAGTAATAGTTTGTGCTCGAAACGTCATCAGTTAATATTACTGTGTGATTTATCAAAATAAAATCTTATCCATAATGGACTCAAGGTTGAGTTTTGAAGTTTCAGTAGTGATGATGGCTTTCCGGGTTGGGGTTGCTAACCTCACACCCAATCTTCCCGGGGCTTACTACCGGCTAAGTGAGGTTTTATGTGACCGCTTTGGCCTCGAATCGAACCTGGACCTTGTTGTGTGGTAAGTGAACATTCTATACTATACAGCCACTGAAGCACTCAGAAACCGATAGCTAGTAGAAATTTTAAGCGCAGCTATATTACGGGATTGAAAACTGATTATTAAAAAATATTGATGTGTTTTATGTACGAAAAATATTAACAAAAGAAAGAAACTCCTTTTAGTTGTCTTTGTCAAACCTTATTTCTAACTATTTTCATTTGTGTTTTTTTTATTCAGAATACAGAATGTGAAATCTACCTGTCATTACTTATACGCTTTTTGGATGTGAATAAACTATTATGGCAGCGTGCATTGGCACTGGAAGTATTGTATAAAATTGTAGAGCAACCTGAATTGGTTAAGTAAGTACGGGTGTTTATACTTAAATTTGTTTGTTTGTTTGATATTTATTGTTCTATTATAGAATACACTTAGCTCCTCCAATATTATGTTATCCCATTAAAAATCATTCAAACTGTAGTGGTTAGGACATTGCTTTGTGTGCTTCGGTGCATATTGTTGTGGAGTTACTGGACTCTGACCCGATCGATCGTGGGCGGTTTCAGCTGTTAGTGTTGTATGGCTAGCAACGCGCGTGGACTTGCTCTGCGTTGCGTCAAGCGGCTGTGCTTCCATGAGATGAAAAGGAAACTAAATAACATTCAATTAGAGAATAATGAAAAAATGGTTCGTTTTGGCATAATTACACTAATATACCAATCAGTATGGCAGCCTTAGAAGCAGTTAAAAGAGAACTAACTGCTTATCCTGAAAATAAAATAATGGTGAAACTAATAATAATGATGAAATAAGTAAGAAAGAATATAAAGCATCGACCTGCAGTTTTATCATATAAGGAGGGGACATCAGAAACCCTTCGCAAGTAGGATTCTTAATAAAGCAGGTATTAGGGTGGCATTTAAACCTACAAACTCACTTAGGCAGGGACGTGCTATGTAGGTTAAAGGACCCAGTTGACCCAATTAAACAAAGTAATGTGATTTGCAAAATACCTTGCAATGACTGTGAGTTAAATCAACTACATAGGTCGAAGTGGTAGATCCAGGGTAATCGGATTTTCTGTCAGAACATAAGAATTCGGCTAAGGTTAGAATAGTTGATCGCACGAAGATAGATAAGTAATCTAGGAAAAAAGAAGCTTAGCTTAGCAACTTCAACCGGAACAGGCTGGATTCAGGAGAAACAAGTCATGCATTGATCAGATCGCTACATTGCGGATCATCATTGAACAAAGCTTGGAATGGCAGTCACCTCTCTATCTCAACTTCATCGACTTTGAAAAGGCTTTCGACAGCGTCGATCGAGAGGTGCTTTGGCAGCTACTTCGCTACTATGGGGTGCCACCGACAATTATACATCTCATCCAACAGCTGTACGGCAATGCTGCATGCCAAGTAATCCACAACGGGAAACTTACGAAATCCTTCGAAGTGAAGACAGGAGTAAGACAGGGTTGCCTACTATCGCCAATGATTTTCCTGGTTGCAGTAGATTGGATAATGCGACAAACAGCAGGCAATGAGGAAACAGGCATAAAATGGACTCACACAAAAAACTTGGAGGATCTGGACTTCACCGATGATATATGTCTGATTTCCCACAAACTGGAAGATATGCAAGCGAAAAGCAACAAGTTGACAGAAGAAGCATCAAAGATAGGACTTCAGGTGAACATAGAGAAAACAGAGGTAGGTGATGAAGATTCCTGGGCAACACCACCAACAGCAACAACAACAGCTGACAACAATCAGCACAAATGGAAGGAACCTGAAAGAAACAACCTCTTTTACCTACATGGGAAGCATCGTTTCAATTACAGGCGGAACTGATGAGGATATCAAAGCAACGAGGATCGGGAAAGCAAGACAAGCTTTCACTACTCTCAAGTCAGTGTGGAGGTCAACAGCATTCAGCATCAAAAATAAGATCGGGATTTTCAACTCCAATGTGAAGTCAGTGCCACTTACTATACGTACGGATCAGAGACTTGCACTGCGCGTCATAAAGAGCATCTCAAACAAACTACAGACCTTCATTAACAGTTATCTTCGCTCAATACTACTAAGGATCAGATGGCCGGCCAGAAAAGATCAGCAACAGAGATCTCTGGCAATGAGCGAACCAACACACAGGAACCGATTGTGAAACAAATAGGCAGGAAGAAATGGAGATGGACTGGCCATACTCTGAGGAAACCATCAAGTGACATCACTAGACAAGCCATCGCTGGAGTGGAACCCGAAAGGGAAGCGGCTAGTTGGTCGTCAGTGTGTGGGTGACTTGGAGGAGGTCATGTGAAGAGGAGATGAAAACGTGTGGGCAGACTTGGAGCCAGGTGAACATGCTAGCAGAGAACCGAACGCAATGGAGACGCATGGCTGAAGCCCTATGTTCCTCTAGGAATTAAAGGAAACAATAATAATAATAAATGCATTAACACACATTAGGGTGGGAGAGAGTTAAAATTCTAAGATGTAGTATAGGCGGGTGGAGATGGAGAGAGGTTGGTCACTGAATCTTTGGTCATAGAATCTACACCCAACAGGTGTAATAGGAATGACTCATCACTCACACCAGAAATATGGAAAATACTACTATCAGTCATATCAAGAGATGAAAAATATTGGAATTATGTGAAGAAAGTTAGAAAGTTGTGTGAGTATCTTGATATGATGATGATGATGAGCAGTAATAAATTGTGTTCGTAACATGGTCATCAGTAGTAAATATTATTGTATAAAACTGTGAGACTTCAAGAGGATAAATTTTATCCAAAATGGAATTATACATTACCACAGTGCACAAGTTCTATTCTTGTATCATTGTTAAAATGGATGCCTTATTTATTATCACTTTAGGTAATGATAGCTGCATAGACTGATACTTGAACCTGTCGCTGTATAAGATTTGTAAAAGGTGAACTCTGTTATTAGGTATTAAAATGTAGTTTCCCGTTTTCAATTTTTACTGAAGGATTCAATCAGTACATAAAACTTCCCTTTATTTCGCTCTTCGTGTTAATTGTATAGCAGTGTTTTTTTATTCCTTCAGGTTCCCAGTAAAACATAGGGCTTCAAGCTAGAGGCTTGAAGTTTCTTTACCAGTGTTTATTTTTACAGGATGTGGTTGCTAGCCTCATGCCCAACCTTTCCCCTTTACCAGCTTCATTTCTGGCTTAGCGAGGTAAAGAAGTGCGTCGGCCGGGGATCGAACTCCGGACCATGTGCACGGTCGGCGAGAATCCTAACCACTGTGCCACCGCACGTATAGCAGTGAATAGCATTTTAGTCCGCGGTGTTTCACATCCTACTGGAAACACTTGATGTCAAGGTGTTTCAGACAAATTCCGCTTCATGGTTATAGCAAATATACTTTACGGAAAAGTTTTTTGGACAGTATTCCACAGAGTACTCTGTATCAGAGTTGACATTGTGTGTGGTCAATGTGCTTTGACCCATAGAAACAGGCAAATTGATAGATATACATTGAGATAGTCAGGAGTGGTATTCTGTCCTTAACGGATGATGAATGCTATCGATTTTTGTAGGGATTTTGTTTGATTGGTTAGAGGATTTCATCATGAGCTGACATCAGTTAGAGAACCATTGGAAAACTAGCCACAGGGAGTACTGGACAGCCAGCTGTTTCGTCAGCCTAGTTTGGAACTGACTCTTCATCAGTACGCACCCACCTCCAGGGCTCGAGCCCAGGCCCTTCTGGTTACGAGGCTAGCGAGCTCGTAGACCATTCACCAGCCACTGTGACCCGATCGATTTAATGACCAGTCCATGAATTTAACTTCTTCCAATTCACGACATATCGCGACCACTTCGCAGTGTCTTCTTCGACGAGTTACTGCGTCACCTTCAACATGCTGTACCCTACTGGTCACGGCTTCCCAATAGAACCCTGGGTTAACTACCTGAATAGGGCCAGTCACTCACTGGTGAGCATCAGATCGATTTTTGAGTATTGGTTTTTGTATTCGCTGGATTATCCACTAGAGAATATGATTCTCAGTATGATTGAATGAAACGCCTTTTTCTTTATCCCTGAACAAAACACACGTAGACTTTTATTTATATATTTATTTTTTGTCCAGTGAGGCATTACTCTTGAAGTTTAATAAGCGATTTTATGTCCAGTTCATTATTTAACACTCACCGCCGATGACTGTAACTTGTTAGATTGTTAATTTCGTCTATCGCTTACCAATTCAACTTCGATTAAATAACCTAATTGTATATATCATTAAGATATTAGGCCATCAGTTCACTTTATCTATTCAACTATGGGGAAATGATACTTCCATATTAGTTTGTTTATTAGATGTATCACACAGTCTGTGAAACAGTATTATTTACTGGATGACGTTTCGAACAAAATTTATTGTTCATAATCATATCAATTGAATTGTTTTGTTTAATTGGCTCCACAGGATTGATCCTTTAACCAACATAGCTTGTTTCTAATTGAGTTTGTGGGTGTTTTGAATGCCAGCTACTTCTATTCCTGCCTTGTTGAGAATTCCGCGTAAGGTTTCAGAGGTTCCTCGGATACATCTAATAAACAAACTAATATGGAATTACTTACTACCACAGTGCCCAAGTTTTACACATATATGAGATGATACTGTCTGACTCTGAGGAAACCTTAGTGGCAAGTCTATGATACAATAGATATTTTTAGGATATTAGAAGTAATTAGCAATGGTCTCACTGCTCTCTTTTAGACATAATGTACAGACAATATTATCTTTCTTCACCGGTCAGCTTTCACTAAAAAAGTTTGAGTGTTGTCATACATTATATAATGCATGATGTTTGAGCTAAGAAATTCCTTACAATTAGGTAGTTAATTCTAGTTCACATAGTCTTTTTTTTAATCAACCTACTATCATTCATACAACCATTTCTATGTGGTATGCACTCTAACATAAGTAAAAGTGAACGAAATATTCCCAAATATTGAGTCATAAGAAAAAGGTGTAAACAGTGAAGAAAATTTTCGCCTCGACGATTCATTTTCATAAGCTGCTGTACAATCGTAATTATATTTTATAAGGAATTCATAAGACAACCAATCAGATACTGGTAAACTTTGTCCTCGGAAAATGTATTACGTAATGTAAGATGTAATCTAGAAGGGATGACTAATTGTAAGTCAGAAAAGAGGCAGATGTTGGCATGACGTAATAAATGTGGGATAATGACTAATCAGTATGATTGAGTAGAATGAACAAGAATTAGTGGAAATGAAAACAAAACACGTAAATCAGGGAAGAGTCTCTTTTCGACGGCCAATTCATTTTCTTAGCTGTACAATCGTATTTTGTATGTATGTGTACATTAAGTTTGTCAAACAAAAAATACAATTGGTTGTAGTTATTTCAACTAAACAGATGAAGATTGGTAATTGGAGTTGCGTAATACAAAATCAGTCAAGAAAATTGGGTGTTATTGAAACTATAGTAGTAATAAAAGTGATGAGTTGTCATAAACAGTTGTTAGAAGGGAGTTACGTAATAATATGAATAGTTTGATGATTGAGTTGTACTCAGGATACACATAGGAACAAAGTGGAGAATACGAAATTACGTAAGAGTTCTAAATGAATACAAGAATTATAAGCAATTAAAGAACAGGCAAAGAAACAAAATTAAGTCTTCAAAATCAAAAAAATCAAATCAAAAAAGTTGTTACCAAGACAGTAGAAGTGGTTGAGTAATCCTCTTTTGTATGAACAGCTCCGGTTTTTCTATGTGAATGGCCAGAGCTTCAGAGATACAAAGATGAAACCGTATTGCCTTTGATAGGTTGTTCTTGAATCTGTAGATTACTTTGAAGGAGGCATTTGTTGAAGTGGAATGATCAGTGTTAACCAGGTGTTCAATTATCGCACTCCTTACTGCACCACTATTGTCTTTTCGCAACCATGCTGGATAGTGTTCTTGAATTCTCTTGGACAGGGCGCGCGTCGAACGACCGATGTACCTGGCTCCACAGCAGCAGGTGAACTGATATATGCACATAGAAGTGGTCAGATGCGGGATTTTGTCCTTTAGGCTTCTGCAGATCAGTGGGTGGCTGGAGAACACTATTCTTAGCGTTTCTGCAAAGAATGTTCTTCTCAGAGATGATGTGATCCTTCTCTTGAGAACATCGCTTGCTAAATTTCCCTTGAAATCCAAGTTTATGTAGAGTTTCTTTTTAGGCGCAAGTGAAGTTTCATTTCTCCCAATTCTTGGTTTGATATTTTTGTCAATGAATCTTATTGGGTATCCATTTTGGATGAAGATTTCTCTTAGAATATCTAATTCTGTTTCTAGAACATCGGAACTACAGATGCGTCGGATGCGGTTGGCAAGCGGAATTTAATTAAATAATTTAGACTGACTGGATTAACTGTCTGCTGGAGAATGTGATACGTAAGGTGATTGTTGGAAATGTCTTCTTCAGACATTTAGAAAGGTGGTTTCTAAGAATTTCTGCTTCGATGTCACTTTTGAATTCGAGGTTCATGAAGAGAGTTTTGTTAGGAAGAGTTGCTATGTTTGGCGATGGAGGCTTCTGTTTCATATTTTTGTCTATGAATCTTGGTAGATAACCGTTGTCTAGTGGGGTTTCATGTAATAAGTTTAATTCTTTCTCAATCATGTCTTCTGAATAGATTTTTCTAATCCTTGAACTTAATGTACGTACCAGGCTTCGCTTTCGGATCAGAGGAACGAAGCTCTGTCCCATCCATGCTTTATATGAACTATCTGATGAACGATTAAAAAGGGCTATATGAACTAGAATTAAGTACCTAATTGTAAGGAATTTCTTAGCTCAAACATCATGTATTATATAATGTATGACAATACTCAAACTTTTCAATGAAAACATTCCTAAGATCACTCCAATCCAATAGTCATTTAGCTGGAGGTGTATAGAAATGTAATCTATACACACATAAAAATGGATCATTCCCCTTCATTGTTCAATATGTATTGATGTTGTTGATCAGTTTTAACAAAGAATTACCTTAAAATTTTCAGTGAGATAAAATGCTTGGATAATTCAATGAGTAGTTTTTGTTCTAAAGAGCTTGATGTAAAATCTTTATTTATATTCACATCGTGGTTATTTCATGCATATATATTTATTATAATCCTTATGGTTTGTCATGTCAAAACGCTCTCCTTCCTCCTTCAGACATATTTGCATTTCATATGATATGAGGCAGCATGCAACAAAGATATTTCACGAATTATTAAATGCTTTTGGACAGTATATACAAACATCTCTGGCAAATCCTGGCCCTGGGGATGAATTATGTAAGTCATCTTGTCTTGTCTTATTTTTTCTCCTTACCTATACTTCATCGTCTACCTGCACTAAATTGTCTGGTTACATAACTGAAGAATAATATTGTTTGTCTGAAATATTCTATTTGTTTATGTGTATCCATGGATAAGATTGAAAAATAGCCAGTGGATAATTTATGTTCAAACTAATCCCCAGTTGACTTATTAAAATTCAACCTTTAAGCAATCTCACGTAAAGAGGAAGAGGTAATGTCAGTCAATAACTGACTGACTGGTTTCAACATAGAGAACAACTTTGCACAGATGTGCAGCAGTTCTAGTTGCCGCACTTCACTTAGCACACGAAGCAAGAGAACAAATGCAAAACAGAGACCGTAAACAGGCGTGTGAGGCAAAAACAATAGTAATATCGAAGAACAATGTAGTTTTATTAGATATTCTAAGTCACAAGGAGTGGATACACCTGCGCCAGCCATTGACAACGACGATTTTGAGCCATATCACCAATTGTCTTCACCTGTCATCATTGGTTTTTTGCCATCTCGAAAACCCCAACCAGTTAGGATGTCTACACCTCCCTACGTGACTGGTTTAAACTAACTTGTGGATTTGCTTCATTGACCGATGAAGCCGTGTTTTGGTTTTACCACTACTAGCTAGCTCTTTTCCAACCTGATCTATCCTGTGCCAATCATCTAACAATTCCCGTCGAGGAAGGCGATGGATGGCTAGGCATATGTAACACATTTCCTAACCATCTCAATCGATGTAACGTCTCAGCCACCTCGTCGATTGATTTCCCCTCCCACCTACGTAGCACTCAACCACCGATGCCTAACCTCAATATTGCTCACCCTATTATACCACCACCTAACACACACTTTCAATGGCCATGTCTCGTTCACAGCCACAAAGGAGGACGGAGCGGACTGCTGAGCAGTGCACACGCGTTTTGTTCGACAGACAGCCGGATATCACGTCTCCACCAGAGACGGCCTAAACTGGTATATACTAAACGTCAGTACCACTGAAGAATTAACAGAATACTGAGGATTCGTTGGGCTTCTATACTATTATTTTCTCAAATCTGTTTTCGTTAACTTCGCTTAAGGGTATACTACTTTTTAATGATTCATATGTATTATCCTCATAAATATTATTCGTTGAAGTTTCTGTAGCGGTTTGATTAGTTTTGTGAGTTAGGGTCGCTAACCAGCCCCACGTCCAATTCAATCCTCCCTCTTTACCCCGGGCTTTTCGATCGGTTAGAAAACTATTGAGATAGTTAACTAGACGGGGTTATATATGACGATGCCACGTGTCAGGTGATCTACAGGAGAAAATTCAGCGAGTCGTTCGAAGTATATATAGGAGTAGGACAAGGCGACTGCCTGCCTATTATCACCGCTGATATTCCTAATTGTACTGGTCTGGATTATGCATCAGCCTTTGGGGAGTGAGAAGACAGGAACATGTTGGGCCGATAAGAAAACTCTAGAAGATATGGATTTCGGGCGTGGATGATTTATGTTTAATGCCACACAAACAGGAAGACTTGTAGGCAGGTGGGCAGGCGAAAAGCAACAAACTGACTAAAGAGGCTGGCTGGCAGCGAAGACAGGACTCCAGGTGAACACAAGGGAGACAGACTTGATGAAGATAACCAACCAGCCAACAGCAATGACAACAACCAGCACCAGTCACCATAAACGATAGATATTTAACAGAGGTTGCCTCCTTCACTTATCCGGCTAGAAAATACGGTTTCGGTCACAGGCGAGAGCACAGATGAAGATGTCGAAGCCAGTCAGAATCGGAAAGGCAAGATACACATTCATTCAACCTGAAACCAACTTGGAAATCTTCTGCACTCAGCTTAAAGAATAAGATTCAAATTCTGGTCGACACCAATGGCTGTACAGGTCAGAAACTTGCACTGTGTGTAACGTTAAAGATTTTCAACGGATTTCAAACTTTCATCAACAGCTACCTTTTCTGGCTCTATATTGAAAATCAAATGGCCAGAAAGAATAAATAACGAGGAACTGTGGCTGGCAACAAACCAATCAAGAGTCGTCGACAGCTCAATAAATATGCAGAAGAGAATGAAGATGGATTGGTCATACTTTGAGTAGGCCGTCAAATGACATCGTGCGTCAGGCGCACAAGTGGAACCCGAATGGGTCGTCCTAGGATGGCGTGGAGGAGATGAGAGATTGTGGGCGATCGTGGACCCAGCTAAAGAGGGCTGCAGAAAATAGGACAGAGTGGAGATGTGTTGTTGAAGCCAGTCGTATGTTCCACTCGGAACTCAAGGGAATAATAATAGTAAAATTTAAAAAATAATCCAAAAAATATTCTCATTGATTTCTGTTTTTATATGAAGGGTCTCTGGTTGGGACAAAATTGTTTTTCTAGTACTCTTTCATATTTAAATAGTTCCTTCGTCGATATGATCGATTGACAAGGTATGCCTTAAAATTAAGACCACTTAGTCAATAAACTTTTTAAAATTTTGTTCACCTTTTTAAGAATGGTAGGAATTTTGTGTAACATGGTGGGCATGTTAAACTATGGCGAAATTTCTGTCACATAGTAAGTTTCTAAAACCGACTGACATAAAACTATATTGGCATCGGGTTTATCGTCGATGCTATTCATCCTGCTTAGAGGGTAAAGAAAATTGTTTAAAAAAATGAGCTGTTTGGCAGTTACTACGTCGTGTTGTCGGGGGGTGGGGATGCATATCACTGAATAATTGTCAATCTCTTTGACATTGTTGTGAAGAGTTCTTTATATTAATGGGGGGGGGGGGTAAAAATGTCTTGCCAGTTGTTTATAAATCAGTTCTGTCCTATTTTTCTCGTTGTTGGGCTTGGCGAATTTGTTGTCATCTGAGTTGTCAGTTTATTAATGCATACATCTGTATCCAATAGGACCACTCCTGATCATTTGTCAGGGCGTGTTATTATCAAATTTTTATTGTCTCTTAGTTCTTTGAGTTGTTGACTGTGTTCTTTCGTCACAAGACGTCGGCTTTTAGTTTTCAAGCTGAGATACTGATTACAGCAGTCGAAGATTGTTGACTTAAAGTGTAGGAATTCTGTATCGGAGACTGGAGTAATGTCATTCGTTTGGCTTATAAGATTCTCGAATTGAATATACGTGTGAAATCAGTTGCTGTTAAGATTTACGTCACAGAATTTTAGTCCAAGAGATAGAGCTTCTAGTTGTGCCGTTGATAACGGAGGTGAAGAGTGATTAAAGACAAATTTATTAGGATCGCTGGGGAACTTATTCTGGACTTCGATGGGTTTCAGGCTTTTGTTCAAATCACATATCACAGAAATCTTCCGCTCTTTGTTAATTATCATCATGCGAGAGACAATCGTGCAGAACAGAAGAGCTGAAAATGTTAAATCAGATTTGAACAAAAGCCTGAAACTCGTCGAAGTCCAGAATAAGTTCCCCAGCGATCCTAATAAATTTGTCTTTAATCACTCTTCACCTCCGTTATCAACGGCACAACTAGAAGCTCTATCTCTTGGACTAAAATTCTGTGACGTAAATCTTAACAGCAACTGATTTCACACGTATATTCAATTCGAGAATCTTATAAGCCAAACGAATGACATTACTCCAGTCTCCGATACAGAATTCCTACACTTTAAGTCAACAATCTTCGACTGCTGTAATCAGTATCTCAGCTTGAAAACTAAAAGCCGACGTCTTGTGACGAAAGAACACAGTCAACAACTCAAAGAACTAAGAGACAATAAAAATTTGATAATAACACGCCCTGACAAATGATCAGGAGTGGTCCTAATGGATAGAGATGTATATATTAATAAATAATTTATAACATTATTTATTATTTAAACGCATTAGAACTTGGTACAATATGGCACCAAGAAGTATGCGCTACACAAGAAGGATGCGCCACACAAATTTATAACATTAATACTAGCTAACCTGGCTTCATACTTAACTTCCCAGTTAGGCACCTGTGTGTGTATGTTTGCATACAGGGGCTAAATTTGCCAGCAGTATGAAAATTTACTTATGGCAATAGGATTTTCAAAGCATTTCTGACTCTATAGGATTGCATCACATACATGAATTGGTCAGATTTTTACATACCTTTAAGCTAAATTCTATCGTGAGTGGTTCTCTTGCTGCTAATTTTTCTTCTTCTAACATTCGGAGCTTGTGTGTATGCTATAAAGTAATCGATGTTTTATAAAATTGCAAAGGCCTAATTACTTTTTTCTTTGTTATCAAAACTACACAGATGACGTAAGAATTTTCTTTGACTCATCAAATTCTGACTACTTAAATTCCCTAAGTAGGCAAAGCTTGCTTAAAGCAATTTATGAAGAAACATTGATGTGTTACCACTCTGTAGTTCATGATAATTTTATTGATTACAGAATGGATTTCATCAGCAGTTGAAAGACCCATTGGTATTTAAGCAGATTATCGAATATTCAAGTATTGGTTTTGTAGGGATTTTGTTTGATTGGACGAAGGATTTCATCATGAGCTGACATCAGTTAGAGAACCACTGGAAAACCAGCCACAGGGAGTACTGCACAGCTGTTTCCTCCTAGTTTGGGACTTTGCATCAGTACTCATCCAGCTCACTGCAAGAGTTCAAACCCAGGACCCTCTGGTTACAAGGCTAGCGAGCTCGTAGACCATTAAGCCGCTGTGACCCGATCCAATGGCCAGTGCATGAATTTTAACTTCTGCCACTAATTCACGACATAGCATGACCATTTCGCAATGTCTTCTTCGATGAGTTACTGCTTCATCTTCAATTTGCTGTACCGTACTGGTCACAGCTGCCCACTAGAACCCCAGGCTAAACTACCTGAGTAGGACCAGTAACTCACTAGTGAGCATCAGATTAATTTTCAAGAACCAATGGAAAATTTGCAGGGAGTACTGAATAATTGCCAGCTGTTTCATCACTCACTGATAAAGAGTCCCAAACTAGGACAAAACGGTTATCCAGTACTCCTCGCAGGTATTCCATTGGTTCTCTAACTGATGTCAGCTCATGATGAAACTCTCCAACTAATCAAACAAAAACAAAATCCCTACAAAACCATACTTGAAAAATAATAATATTAATCATATTTAATTTTGTAAGCAGCAGCGTACATTTTGAAGTAATTTTGAGTTACTTAGATGAAGAGAATACGCGACTGTATACATATATATATATATGACTGTATGTTTAAATCAATTGTATTACTAAACATCACCTCAAACTACTTCTACACATATCTTTTCGTTTGTGGTAAATACCATCTAAGTAATTAATTACAGTCGAAGCAAAAAGTGGATCGATCACTCACTCACGCACACACACACACACATACACACACCACTGGCTTGTCTTTAAAGTATACACTTTCACCAGTGTTCAGTTTAAACTACACTCTATATGTTCTAGTAATCGATTATCGCCTATGGATTCGTTAAGATATATAAATCATTAGAAAAAGAAAAGACATTAAATTGAGAAGTAAATGTATTTACACCACATACAAATACAAATGTTTACTATAATGATGATAAAGCATAGTTTTAAATTGCGATCTCAACTTTCATTCAAATGAATAACTTCTAGATGGACATTCAATGTCCCTCCCTCTCATATTATTATTATAGCATAGGTGTGGTAACTTACCGGCGTCCAACAATCGTCATATTTAAGTATTAGTTTGTACGGATTTGGTTGATTGGTTACAGGATTTCATCATGAGCTGATATAGGTTAGAGAACCATTGGAAAACCTGGGAGTACTGGGCAGCTGTTTCGTCCTAGTATGGGGCTCTTCATCAGTACGCACTCACCTGGGTTCGAACCCAAGACCTGGTTAGATAGCGAGCTCGTAGACCATTAAGTCACTGGGACCCGATGCAGTGGCCAATGAATTCTAACTTCTGCCAATTCACGATATAGCGCAACCGCTAGCCAATGTCTTCGGCGAGTATTTGTCCTCACACCCGACCTGCTGCACCCTACTGGTCACGACTTCCCATTGGAACCCCAGGTAACTACCTACCTGAATAGGGCCAGTCGTAGGTAAGTAGTTACCTTGGGTTCCAGTGGGAAGTCGTGACTAGTAGGGTGCAGCAGGTCGGGTGTGAGGACAAATACTCTCCGAAGAAAAGTACTACAGCGATGTTTAGTTGTGAAGGGAATGCCGGGGAAATGCATCGCACTGATCAAGGCACTCTACTTGAACACGCATGCAGTCAGCCAGGTGAGAGCCTACGGAGTGTTGTTATTTGAAGCGATGACAACTAGTGGTGTCAGTCACGGATGGCCACCAATCCCTCCATTTGTACTTAATTTCATCATAGATGTATGTGCTAATGGGCTTAATCCTAACTGACTTCAGTGTCTCAAGGATTAAATTGTTACCACCAAGGAATTATCTCGTTGACTTAGAATATGCAGATGATATAGTCCTTCCTCCTGGGCGAAGATGCTATCAAAATTAGAGCAGAGTCTTCTGAACACCTTGAGAAGTGAGCAGTCTTCGAATGTTTGGCATGCATGGTGGTGGAGCATGTTCACCACTTCACTTATTTCAGAAGTTGCATCAGCCAACGCCATTGGGTTGATCGCTAAAGAAATCTCAGCACGGATGCAGAAGGCTCGTTTAGCATACATTAACACGCCATTTCTGGCGTATATGTGATATCCGGCCGGTTATCGAGCAAAGGATGTGTGTACTGCTCAGCAACACTTTGCTCCGTCCTCTTTTATGGCTGTGAGCGAGACATGGCCATTGAAAGTGGAAGACATGAAAAGCCTGGCTAACTAGCTGTCTTTGATTATAGGTGCCTGCGTTCTATCTCCCGTGTATTTTAGGTGATGGTACAATAGGGTGAGCAATATTGAGGTTAGGCATCGGTGGTTGAGTGCTACGTAGGTGGGAGGGGAAATCAATCGACGAGGTTGTGCAGCTATATCGACTAAGATGGTTAGGACATGTGTTACGCATGCCTAGCCATCTCCTTCCTCGATGACGGACAATGTTAGCTGACATAGGGTTAGGCTGGAAAAGAGCTAGCGGCGGTCAAACCAAAACATGAATCCATCACTCAATGAAATCCACAACAGTTAGTTTAAATCAGCCAGCCACGTAGGAAGGTGTAGACTTCCTGACTGGTTGGGGTCCTCGGGATGGTAAACACCAATCACCGGCTGGAGACCATCGGTGATAGGGCTCAAAATCGTCATTGTCAATGGCTGGCGCAGATGCATCCACTTCTTGTGACTTATAATTTCCATTGAAACTATATTGCTCTTCGTTATTGCTATTCTATCTGTCTCATATCCCCGTTTACTGTCTCTGTTTTGCATTTCTTCTCTTGGTTTGTGTGCTGCAAGGAGGAAGTGTGGCGACTTGAACTGCCGCACATATGTGCAAAGTTCTATGTCGAAAACAGACAGAATGATTTTCGTACAGGGTGGAATATCAAGACTGTATTTATGTTGGTTTAAATGTATGCGACATTACTTTTATGTGTGCTATATGTGTTTACATCATCTGGGTGGTAACTATGTTTTTTTTATATTCTTTACTCTATCCTTGTGAGATATTGCGTATATTCATGTGTGCACACAAATCTATTGAATATCTAAGTCTGTTTTCGGCGCATTGATTTATTTTTGTTGTTTTTATTATTAATACTACTATTGTTATTATTTTCTCTTAGCTAAAGATAACAACAGTCAAGCACCAAATCAACTTATTCACGCTGGAGGCATAAATCAATCCATGCTATACTATAAAGGCAGCTATTTTCCTATAAATTTACAATCTAAAGGAATGCTGTAAGTCTGTAATTGATATCTCTGTGTGCATGTGTACATATGGCCATAAATATTTATTCATTTGATTGTCCTCTTTGTCGTCATCGTTTAGAGAGGAAAATAAAGCCTAAATCATCTTTTGTGCGTCATCCAGTGCCGCCTGCAGTCAGAGAGGTTACTACCATTGAGCAGCTATTCGGGTTCGCGACTGACCTCCTGTAGGAGTGTATTGGGTATTTTTATTGATGAGACACTAGTCAGTGACCAGTGTCAAACTGAATTCTATCAGTCAAGTTCGAATCACAGAAGGGTTCCTTCATTCAAGGTTGCAGATACGCCTGTCTTGCTGACTGGTGAGTGCCAACTAGCACGAAACCTACGTCGAGCATAGCTTCCTGTGGCCGATTGCTTCTAACCATCTAATATCAACAATTTAATGTGCACCGTGATGGCGAGCCAGTTAGAACGCTGGTCGCATTGTAAACTTGGCTGATAGTATTCATTCCGTACGAAACAAAAGAATGGACACACTACACTAGTCACATTGACTAGTGTCCAATCAAAGATAGTATTTTTGCTTATCGAATCAATTACAAGTGCATAAAACTGTCGTGAAACCACCAAAAATACTTCCAAACATGTTGGGGGATTCGAACAATTTTTTAGGTTTCCAAAGGAAACTATGGGGTGAAATTTCACCCCCTTGAACTGTGTAAATTCCAAGTGTGTTTGTGTATGCGACCGGCTCTAAAGCAGTTGCTCAGTGGGTACTACAGTCACATGAAACTAATTCTTTATTCTATAGGGTACTTAGAGAAAGGAATAACTTCTGTAGCGTAGGCGGCAAAATTAAACAATAACATCTGAAGGGATACGAACGTACAAGTGACCTTCAGCTGGCCAATCACAAAAATGAGGAATTTTTACTTAAAAAATGACGTTTATTTATAAGAAAAGGTACGAAAACACAATAAACAGACTTAAAAATACGTCCCAGTTATAATGAGGAGTATCAGTTGCTAAGTTGGACTAGTTTCTCTACATGTATTTACCGAGATGACGCGAGGTGAGCGGCTTTTGTGACCCGTTTATTGATCTTATTCTGTCTTGTGGTATTCCCTAAAATCCCCCAGTTGAATTACTGTGGTTTCCAGTGAGAGGATCGACGACAACTTACCAGGAAGATGCGGATAATAAAACAAATAAAAATAAGTGAAATCAACTCCAAAGCTATCCCTAATCCTAACCCTAACGAGCTAATTATACATTGCCCAAACAGTAGTACTTAAAAACGTGATCTGAGTTAAATTTGCTCCTTAGTTGGTGTGAACAGCATTCTTATTTGCGCTATAGTAATGACAGGTGTCGTTAGTCAACGACTAGCATACGTTCAGCGTCATTGGAGCGTTCGCACCTCGGGGGCTCTATAGCTTAACTTCACCGAGTAGGCATACTATTTTCCTTAAGCCACATTGCCAAATTCATATTGTTCATTTCAACACTATGTTGTTTTCTACCCGAAAAATAAGAAGACATCCAGCCAGCCACCTTGTAACCCAGCTAGACTCAGTGTTTGTCTAAATCAACTTACTTAGTAAAAGTACCTTAGGAATAGTGTCAAAAGCAGGAGTGTGTAGTCTGAAAACGAGGCTTAAACAAACTTTGCGCCTTTATGGAGACTTGAAACAATATTGTGGTGGAGTACAACAACGGCATTTAATATGCTTCTACTGCATTTGCAAGCAGACTGCTTCGGGTCATTAAAATGTATTAAAAGAAGGTTTAACAACATGCAAGAAAAGTTTCTTCCTAGTTTTCAAAAATGAAGACATGATGGTAATTGGTCACAGCTTTTGATCTGATCCAGAAGATGACTTTGGTACAGGCAACAGGTACAGTATCCCTGTGAAACGACATATTAAAAAATTGAGTAAGCGGATAGCACAAAATATCAGCACATTTTTGAAGCAAAGTGCTTGATACACCATCGAGTCCTAGACTGTTTGATGGATTTGAGATATGGAAATACATCCTTTTAATTAACACCTAGGAAAAATGATCAATTACGTGACTAGAAACATCAAGTTCAGTCATATTAGCTTGTAAGCCTAAGGGGTGAGATCGAGTGTACTGTGTTAGATTAAGAATGTCAAGTCAGTTGATGAAATAGAGAAGCTTACTTACTTATTTACACATGTAAAGATATACTGCCTTTCTCAAGGAATAGTGTTAGCCAAAAAAAAGATTCCAGATATAGTGAGAGCTGTCTACAAGACAAAATTGTAGGCAACAATTGACGTCAATGTTTGCGTCCCAAATCAGGGTCGTGAGAAGGAAAAACAAGAACAAAGTCTAACCTTGAGGAACTTAACAACCAATGACAGCAGACTTAGCGTGGGCGGATACGATTCGCAGGTATATCAACGGACTGTCTAAGAAACAGCAACAAAGAGATGACAGAATAACCTTCAGCAGGAAAACAAGCCATCAGAAGACGTTGCTTCTCTGTTAACAATAACGCTAATAATAATGTATATAAAAATCTATAAATATCTGGTGATTTTCTCAATAAACGATCTGTAGCCTGGCCCTTGTCTTCTGCCATTACAAAGAGAAGTTATAGTAACTAGACTCTAAGCTGCAGCATCGACCCAGAGAAATCTGGTGATCCAAACTAGTTAGAAAGGCTCAGATTGTCTGGCTGGAATTCTTTTAGCAATATTAGGTGTAAGCAGTTGAAGAATATTGATGATTTTGCTTTCCTTCTTGATATGATCCTCAAACTTCTGGATAGTATGATTGTGTTTCTGCTTTTCTTTTATGCATATGCATTTTCAGACTTTGATTACTGGAACTGAAGCACTTTTTTGTGCAAGGTCCTAACGTTGATCAATAAGTTAGTAATATTTCTACATCATCCAATATTGTGGTTGTATCGAATTTCTTTATAGACAAAATATCGATCCCTGGGTTAACTGCCAGCTAATTGTTGCTTTTATTGTTATAGAAAAACTGATTGGCGATGAAGTGTACTCACTATTAGGAAGGCGTGAGAACAAATAATCACTGAAGACATTGGCTAGTGTCAGCCATGCTATGTCGTCAGTTAGTGGCAGAAGTTGGAATTCATGCACTGGCCATTGGATTGGGTCCCAGTGGCTTAGTGGTCTACGAGCTAGCCAGCCTTGTAACCAGAAGGTCCTGGGTTCCAATCCTTGCAGTAAGGTGGGTACGTAGTGCCGACGAGTTCAAAACTAGGACGAAACAACGAAGGGTTCAGTACTGCCTATGGCTGGTTTTCCAATGGTTCTATAACTGATGTCGGGTCATGATGAACTCCTTCAACCAAAAAAATATTTCTGTTGTTGTTGTCTTTTTCTTTCTTTCGTGAATCGTAAGCTTATGTATTCATCTTCTATGTGAATGTTTTCTTTTCTTTCTTTAGACTTGAAATGCTTGATCGTAGTGAACCACCTGTATTGGCTGATGGTTATTGTCTTTCGCTAGCTGTTGTCTGCCTTCGTAAAACAGTGGAATCATTAAGAGTGATTGTAAATGCTAATTTGGCTGCAATCTCTAATATTGAAAATAACAATAATGACAATAATAATAATGATAGCGCCACCAATGATGATATATTAATAAAACCGGATATTGTTATCTGTGAACAAATTGTTTCTAACTCATGGTGTGGACTATTGTCTTCGTTTAATTTATTACTGGAATCAAGGTAGGTTTAGAGTGCTTAGTTTATTCAGATCATTTCTTGATTTTAAACCGATTAAACGATTATTATTATTATTATTTTTAACCGTGAATGAATATTGTGAGCAGCTGATTGGGAGAACTTTGATCTGAGTTTGAGTCCCGTTGCACTCTAAAGCTTAGTAGTCATTGGTTTATGTAGCATTCACTAACAGTCTATAAAGCACACTTATTGCATGAAGGTTGATAAGGTTACTTAGTTGCACAAGTGGAGCGGGGGGTCGAACTCTTAGTAAGTTGGTTTTATCGCAAATTATATCTAACCATTAGTGGAGCATGTTTGGGCGAGGGGCTAGTGATCGTACCCTGGAAAACTAATCAAACTGCAACAGAAACTTCAACTCAGAGGAAAAATATTTTTAAAAATATGAGAAAACCAACTAATTCTTCACCGGTGTCGGTGGCAAAGTGGTTAGGACTCTCGCCGACCATGCACATGGTCCGGGGTTCGATCCCCTGCCGACGCACACCTGATATCTATGGTCAGCCTGTAAATTTGGGCTACCGATATCCATGCTGAAAATTCCATACTTGTACTGGAAATACTGTGTGAAATCAAGCTATAATCAAAATGAAAATGAAAAGATGGAATGACACAGGCCAGTGACAGCCTTCGGGAAGCCAGTCAGTCCACCGATTTGTCTTCTCTCGATGAAACATGAATAAGAATTCGAACCAGGAATGTACGTACAGTGTAAGAGGCTGCCCAGGTAGCCAAAGAAATGAGAAGAGAAAGCAAAGAAGTGCTTTGAATCTGAGAGGGGAGGTGGAATGGATGTGGACTGTCAAAATTGCCAACTGGAGAGTCAATAATCTACTCCAGACGACAACCACGAGCACACTGAGGCAGTGAGTAGCTATCATGATGTTACTAACAGCAGCTAAGGCTCTTAGGTAGTGGCAACCAATCTCCTTCTACAGAATTATGACGGCAAGATACAACTGAAAAGGAAGGTCACAATTATCCAACGCTACGCACAGTGCTACAAACAACGCGGAACAAGAGAAGAAGGAAGGTTTCTATAGACAACTACAAACAGTAATGAATAACATTCCGAATGGCGATATCAAGACCCTTATGGGCCATATGAATAAAAGCCAAACTTTGAGCAGATAATACAGGTAGAGAACTCATCATGGGTCGAGAGGCTTTGAGCGAAATGAATAAGAATGGAGAGCTCTTTGCAGATTTGGAGGCAGCGTGTACAAGCGCAAGGATATACGCAAGGCAACATGGGTCTTGCTTGATGAACACACCAAAAACCAGATAGATTTCATCTCAATGTCGCTCAAGGAAGCGAAGACGCAATCTGCCGGACAAAAGTTGAGAAGGGGGACTGATGTGGGCTCAGACCATCATCTAGTTCAAGGAACCTTCAATATGAAGCTGAAATTCTTCAAAACAACTGTAGACAGGCCACAGTTCCAATTCAACATTCAGAAGCTGAAGGACAAAACTGTAAGGAGTACCTTCACTGCAGATATTACAGTAAAGTTGGAGACACAAAATGGCATCACTAAGGAAACCTGCGTGGAACAACATTGGAACTCTATGAAGTTGATGTTCAAGGAGATGTGTACAACTGTTTTAGGAAGAAAGAAGAGACAAGACAAGGAATGGCCCTCAACAGACACCTACCTGGAAGCTGAAGAAGAGAGGAGAGAAGAATGGTAAAAGAGCAGATGAGTCAATGCAAAGATGGACAAGAGAAGGAGAAACTGAGCTCAGTGTACACTGCACTGAATGAGGAGAAAAGTGAAGAAGAGTGCTAGGAAAGACAAAAAACAATTTTACGACACAAGGACTGGCAACTGGATTAAAGCAGACCTCAGGTGAGAGAGATCTCATAACATTATGTTAGATAACCAGGTCTCTATCCAAAAGAAGATACACACAGGAGAGACCTGTGAAACATGTTCAAGTGGAGGCAAATAAAACAATGGGCTGATCACTTCAAAGGACTCTTGAATTGACAATTACCAGCAACCCGCCTGGAAATACCACCAACAGCAGCACACATAGAACTGCGAGTAGACACCAATTCTCCAAAAAAGGCAGAAGTGTTGAATGCAATCAAGCTACTGAATACTGGGGAGACAGAAGGATCCGACGGAATTCCCTCCTAAACCCTGGAAACGAGCTCGGAGACTACGGCAGGTATGCTGATGCCATTATTGCAAAACGTTTTAAAGGAAGGGAAGGCAACTAGTCGAAAGAAAGGCTACCTCGTCAAACTACCAAAGGAGACTGACTCAGGATTCTGGAATAACTGGTGTGTAATAATGCTCCTCTCCATGCCAAGTAAAGTACTAGGTCGCGTTATTCTGGAGAGAATAAAAGATTCACCGGATTAAGAAATTCGAAGGTGATGAAGATAACTAAGCAACCAACCAACTAACTGCTGTGAAATTCACGTGCGAAGAGGAATCCCAAAACAGAATCATTGCCTTCCTAGATGTCCTCCTTACAAGAAAACCAGATGGTAGCGTAAAAAGAAATTTACATAGGAAAAGTTCATGGACAGGACAATATACACATTTTCACAGCTTTGTTCCTCTCCAGTACAAAATAAATTTAGTAAAGACCCCCAGCTACAGAGTTAGAGCAATATGCTCACAAGAAGTAACTGAAGATGAATTAAGCATTGTATATGATACTTTGATGGGAAATAGCTATCCCGAAAAATTTATCAAGAAACACATGACAAAGAAAGCGGAAAAGGACTACTCACTCACTATCTGTAAACAAGAGGCCTCTATATATATACATACCATTGAAATTCCTGGGGGACATACCAAGTGAGATAATTTCGGGGAAATTAAGAAAATCAGTTCAAAAAACTTTTAATGCTGGTAAACCACACGACCGATGGTGATTCCTCGACTGAAAGATGAAGTACCTAGACTAGCTAGCCACTTCTAATTGTATCTACCAATTCAACTGCGCTTGTGGAGCGAGTTATATTGGCCGTTGCTCTAGGAACTTGATTTTTCGTGCTCTCTCGGGAACATCTCTCACTATGGCTAAGTAAAGGTGTAGTGAAAACCATTAACAGTTCGATATTGGACCATCTGGTCCAAAACCGGTCATAAAATCAGTATTGAACAATCCTTCTCTATCATCTACCGGGTGTCAAATAAATTGCCAAAAACATCGAAGTACCGCATACTCCAAAAATCAGGCGCTATCACAATTCGCGTGGAACAACCAATGCTTTGTGTGCAAAAGAAGCAAGTCCAGCCAGCCACCACTACTGCCCTGGCCGGCCTTCAGTGGTGACTATAAATTCATAAATTAGTATGATTATCTTTCCTAATTTGTCTGACATTCAGTTTATTGTTATGTTTATGTTACCGAAGTGAAATTCACTGATATTATTATTGATTCGATGTTATTTGAACAACATTAATGTTGTTCATAACACTAATTCATTCACTATAATGTCTGTACATATAACTGTAGAGCCTGATGAAGAGCAGGTTATCGAAAAAAATATTCTTTGTTCAGTATCCATTCTTTTGAAAGAAAAGTATCTGAACACTAAGAATCCAGTGTTAAACATTAATCCCTTGCTTAGAGATGTATTCTGAAGAACACAAAACTGATTTACATTCCATAAATTGTTATTTGATATTATAGATGAATCTTTGAGAAAAAATTCAAAAGTATTAGCATGACATTTCGACTTAAAGTTTCTTATTCATAATAATAATAATAATAATAATAGATTTAAAATAATTTAAAACCAAATTAGAACATAATTTTTAAAAAATGTCATCAAATTACCGCATTCAAGAGAACTTTATTCACATGATCGTCATTGATTTTTATTTTGGGGTCATATATGACATTTCAGGTTAAGTGAGTAATATAAAAAGAGACTAATGATTCACTGACAGTCTCCAATCCAGCTGAAATATTCTTCATTTCACGAGAGCGTTCCACTGGCTGTACTAACCTTTTGGTTTCTTTTAATCACATGTTGTAGAATCAATGAACATTGTACGGAGGCGAAACTGTAGGACGTGTTTTTTGCATATATCTAAGTCAAGATGGCGTACGGAATAGTGGCAATTTTAGTTTATGTAAACACGGATTGCTAAAATGCTTCTGCTACTAGATACAGCCAATATGCTATGAATTATCTAGATAATTTGATACTGTATTGTTCTTATTCCCTTGGGTTACGAGTGGAACATAGGGCTTCAACAACACACCTCCACTCTGTTCTTTTTGGTGTTGTCCTCTTCAGCTGACTGATCCCACATTTGGCCATAATCGCTTATCTCCTCCTCCCCAATACACGATCTCCTCCATGTCACCCTCACACTGACGACCCACTCGTTGCTTCCCATTCACCTTCCACTCGAGCGATGGCCTGCATTCAGCGCGATGTCAGTCGATGGGCACCTAAGAGTGTGTCCTATCCATCTCCACTTTTGGCTAGTGTGTTCCATTGCAGAATTTCTTGTTGCTAATCGTTTCTGACCGACTCGCTGGCCTCCCATTTGATCCTCAGTATGGAGCCAGCCATCGAAGTAGACAGCTGTTGATAAAAGTCTGTATTAGCCTGTTGGAAATGCTTTTCGTGACACTCAGTGCACGTTTCTGACCCATACAGAAGAACTGACTGACTGACTTCACATTTGTGTTGAACAGAGTCCGAATCTTGTTGTTTATGTTGAGGCGGAGTGAGTGCAGAAGATTTCCAAACTGGTTTCAGATTGATGAGGGCGCATCCTACCTTTCCGATTCTGGCTGGCTGACTTTGATATCTCCATCCGACCCTCTGGTGTGTGTGGTTGAAACCGTGTTTCCTAGGCAGATAAGTGAAGGTGGGAAGTAACCTCTGTGAAATTTCTCCGGTTGATGTTGATTGGTGCTTGTTGTTATTGGTTGGTTAGTTATCTTCATCACCTCATCTTCTCTGTGTTTACCTGGAGTCCTGTCTTGGCCGCCTGCTTCTTCAGCCAGTTTGTTGCTTTTCGCCTGCCTGTAAGTCATCGAGTTTGTGTGACATTAAACATTTATCATCCACGCGTGAAATCTGGATCTTTTCGAGTTTTCTTATCGGTTAGTCCAGCGTATAGTCCACTCCACCACAATTAGGAATATCACCGGTGATAATGGTCAAGTAGCTAGTGTTGTCTTTATCTTATATTTACTTCAATGGCTTTGTCGCTAAGTTTTATGTTGTGGATCACTGGACTCTTGACATTGTCATATAGCTGTAGTTGATACTGTATTACTCCACAATACTGCGCTTTTAGGATAACGTTGGATAAATTTATGTAAGACCAAGCCATATCACCAATCGTCTCCTGGCATTGTTTCTTAGAATCCTGAGGACTCCGAAGAGACAGTCTAAGTCTGCCTACGTTGCTCAAAATAACTGTCAGAGACATGATGAACTGATGCCATGCTTAGGTTTGACCACCCGTAACTGTTTACAACCTAATCCTATTACAGCTAAGATTGTCTGTTAAGTAATGCGGTGGACCAGCATGCACAGCATGTGTCCTAAGTATGTCAATCTAACATTACTTCTATCCTCAATATTACTCAACCATATTCTACCATCTAACGCTGGAAACGTGGCCCAAGTGGTCTAGGGGATAAAGCCCAACTGGTGGTAAGCCCGGCGAGTGATCTCACCCCATAAAAACAATACAAGCGTTACTGAAACCTCAAATCTTTAAGCTTGCAGCCTTATTATATGTGGTTACTTTGAACAGATACTTCAATAATGCCTGAAGTTTTGCCTTAATTTATACTAATGATGGCTACTAGCGGGATCTAGAAACTCATGTATCAAACTATTCAAGATGTATTCACATGTCAATAGAAATTGATTGTCTCTCCTTTAAATGAAGACACAACACTCATGTATCTGAATTAACTTGTCCTGTATTCCAAGTCTTCATAGAGTTTTCCATCACTGATGAGGATCTGTAAATGAGAGAGATTTCATTCATCTTCTTTGCGACAAAATGCTTGGCGTTTATCGTGTTATGGTTTATATATATATGCTTCTACTTGTATTCTTTTGACCATATAATTAAAATATTTGTGTAGGGTGTATATTTATAAATTTGAAATGATAGCCGAATTGAGCCTTAGAATGCGTTAAGTAAAATCTTCGTCATTGTCTGCTTCTGCTGCTACTGTACTCACCGGGTATAAATTCCTCGATCCATAGTCTTGCTATGAAAACAATATTCACTCTTCAGATTTGCTTAATTTTTTCGTAAAACCAGTCATCTTATTTTATTCACTGTTATGTCTTAATCTTTTGTTTTTTTAAATAATATACTGATAATGACAGCGCTGATCACCAAATCACTGGATGCTTTCTTCAATCCTTACAAATTATGGTTGAATTATGTGGAAAACTGCATCTTAATGAAGCTCGAGATGCTTTCACGATAACTTTGTGTAGATCTGCACTACCGACATGTTTTGCCCGGTCTTTATTGGCATCCGATTCGAAAGGGGGTATGTTATATAACCAGTCATTCATCATATACATATATATATATATATATATCATTTTATCAAAATTCCATTATTGTCGATGTTTATTTTTTTGGTGGTATGTCCAGGTAAGTCATCATGCTGAAGAGGTTTATCAAAATACGAAGTTTCTATATCATAAGTTGCTTTTGAAAACTGCGTACAATTCTCCTCAGTAATATATTTGAATAAAGCGAGAACGAGAAATGTGTACCAGGATAATCTGAGCTCCTGTTTTCATTTTTATTATTCTCTCATCGATTCTTCTCAACTGACTGCATACAACCTGAACAATGTCAAAATTATAGATTAAATTAAAGATCTATCTGAAGACACCTTTTTACAATGATAATGAGTAATGGATTAGGACTGAGAGTAGTAACATTGGTCAGGGATGATGAAAGCTGTTGGGTAATTAAGAGTGAAAAGGATTGACTATATATGTAAAAGAATTGCATGACTAAGCTTCTAAACAAAAGGACAGAGTTCAACAAATATTTTGTGGGTAGGAATAAAGTTTAACTAGAAAGAGTATAATGAATAACAGGTTGCGCAACCATAGAAAAACAAGTTTTATAAAATAGAAAAAAAGGGGGAAAGGATGACTCATGCTTAGAAGAAAAAAATCAAAGTTTTTAAACAGGACAGAAAATGATAAAGTGAGATTTGTATGCTTTTTTATCACCAAGGCAGTGCAAGATTCACCACCACTGTCTCTTTCTGCATACATGGCTTTGGTTTAAGCCGTTTGATGGCGATTGCCACAGCAAAATGAAGCAGGTTGGGTTTCTTTCGTCTCTTGATTATTTTGAACGACTTCAGGTTGTCCACAGTATGGCCAGTGTCTAGTAGATGACGTTCAATCTCACTGTTTAATGCTTCGGGGTGCTTTAGTCTCAGTTTCTTTGGTATGTGTTCAGAGATGTAAACAATAACCCTTTTGCTCTATTCTTCCAATGTATGTGCTTTGGCACGTACATGTAAATTGGTGTAGACGCAGTTCGGAGTTTGTCCACTTTTGACTGTCTTAAACAACAGGTCGTTTGATAAACACATACAAGCTTGGCGGCTGGATATGTTCTTTTCAAGGCATCATTCAGTCTGCGTCTTATTCTACTAGCAGTATTGGCAAGCTGTAGAAAGGTGGGCTTTTTCACTGCTGTGTTGTACTTCACCTTCTCAAACACTACGTTTTTCATATTTGTCGATGAACTTCTGTGGGTGACCATTATCACGCAAACATTTTCCTTCTGTTTCCAAGCTTAATCATGCAATTCTTCACTCATAATTATTCAACAGCTTTCATCATTCCTCACTAATGTTACTACTGTCAGCTCCAATCGATTACTCATTATCAGTGAAGAAAGGTGTGTTCAGACAAATCTGTAATTTAATTTATAAGTTTGGTGTTGGTCAGGTTGTATGCAGCCAGTTGAGAAGAATCCACGATTATCCTGGTACACATTTGTCGTTCTCGCTTTATTCGAATTGCTTTTACACGCATACCGTAAAGTAAAACCTGTATATTTTGTGGAGTAAGCGTTTATTGTCATTTGTCTTAAACAATTTTATAGAAGTAGTCATCCTGCATATCACAGGATATTACACAATCATATCGGTGCTAATGTGTTTTTCTTTTTGCCACTCAATCTATCATAAAGATTGTAGAATGATCTTTTCCCATTAAATGACTGACTGACTGGTTTCAACATAGAACTTTGCACCGATGTACAGCAGTTCAAGTCGCCACACTCCCCCCTTGTAGCACACAAACCAAGAGAATAAAGTAAAAAGAAATGTAAAACAGAGACAGTAAACAGATGATATATGAGGCATAAAGAGTAGTAATATCGAAGAACAATAGAGTTTTATTGGAAATTATAAGCCACAAGGAGTGGATGCATCTGCGCCACTGCGAACGATTTTGAGTCATGTCACCGATTGTCTTCAGCCGGTGATTGGTGTTTACCATCCTGAGGACTCCAAACAATCAGGTAGTCTACACCTTCCTACGTGGCTGGCTGGTTTAAACTAACTGTTGTGGATTTCATTGACTGATGGAGCCGTGTTTTGGTTCTATCACCACTAGCTAGCTCTTTTCCAACCTCATCCATTCTATATCAGTCAGTCAACATTTCCCATCGAGGAAGGCGATGGATGGTTAGGTATACGTAACACATTTCCTAGCCATCTCAATCGATGTAACGTCGCAGCCACCTCGTCGATTGATTTCCTCTCCCGCCTACGTTGCACTCGACCACCTATGCCTTAACTCAATATTTCTCACCCTAGTATACCACAGAAGATCGAGCGCAGACACCTATGGTCAAAGACAATTGGCCTCTTCATGTCTTCGACATTTAATGGCCATGTCTCGCTCACAGCCATAAAGGAGGACGGAGCAAAGTGTTACTGAGCATTACACACGCCCTTTGAACGATAGCTGGATACCACGTCTAAGCTAAGTATATTACAATTCAACTATTGAGTTGAAATACAATTTTGTATCAATTGCAATTTACTCCAATCTCTGCAATATTGAGAAATCCAACCATTTAGTTCACTTCAGCAAGTGATTGCTAACGCCACATATATTGTTGGAATTGATTTTGGAGTGTTTTCATCTTTTTGTTTTCCTTCAGGTCAGTCTGTAATGTCTCAATTGTCTTCAGCTTCTGGTAGCGTAAATATTCACGAGGATATATTCGATCGTAGTCCAGTAGTTTTAATGGTATCTCAGGGTCCTGGTCATACAACTCATATAAGTCCTCCAACAAATCTACCTCCTAACTCTCAAAATTCATCGAACCAAACTGCATCCAGTGGACATGTACAAATAGGATCAACTCCATCTGGAAATACTGACTCGTTATCATCAAACGGGAATATACTGCTTACTGCTAAACATCTACAAGCTGCACATGCTGTTTTAGCCACAGCTAGCGCACATGGCGATGTACTCGAGTCATCATGGAGTATAATTTTAATCACAATGCAGGTAGGTTTACTTCGTTTTATGTATAAATCTGTGTATAATTTCATAGATTGTATCATCATTTGGTTTCAGTGATTATGTTGAGAATACACTCAAGTCTTAATATATTTGATCCAAATAAACTAAATATAAAAAACAGTTACTAGGGTGAATGACTTTCTGTCAAGTAAATAATGTGTACAAATTTCTGTGTGTGTGTGTGTGCATATTGATTGATCAATTGATTTACTTATAGTTCATGTGAGAGGTGCATGCTGACTTTTTTAATTTTTAATTTATCATTCTTCAAAACTCCTCTTTGGAAAGAGCCACATGCTTGTTTCGGGATCTTATTCTGTGAAACCTCGACTATGATCGTTACTTCACAGTAAATTGTCATAAGATAAAATATTGAAATAGAGTTTGACAAAAGTCTTAAATTCCATTCATCTGGCCTGGACACTTGTAATAGTACTGATAGGGAGTATTAACTGAATCTTAAAATGACTACTAAATCTTTAAATGAATTAATAAATATCATCTCGTAAATAATTCATCGTGCGTCGGTGGCACGGCTGTTAGGACGCTCGCCGACCATGCACATGGTCCGGAGTTCGATTCCCGGTCACCGACGCACTCCTTCACCTCTCTAAGCCAATAATAAAGCTGGTATAAAAAGGAAAGGTTGGGTATGAGGCTAGCGACCCCATCCTGTTAAAATAAACACTGCTACCGAAACTTCAAGCCTCTAGGTTGAAGCCCTATGTTCCACTGGGAACATGAAGGAATAAAAAAATAGTTCATCAATTTTATTTTTTTTCGACTTCCAACCAGTATTGGATTCGGGTTCGAATAGTAATATGCAAGAACAATAGAATTTTATTGGGTATTACAAATCCCAAGGAGTGGCTAGTTCTGCAACAACCATTGATAAAGATTTTGAGCCATATCACCAAATGTCTCCAGCCTACACTGGTTTTTACCATCCCGAGGACCCGAATTAGCCAGGCAGTCTACACCTCCTGATGTGACTGGCTGAAACCAGCTGTCGTAGATTTCATTAACTGATGCAGCTATGTTTTGGTTTGACCACCACTAGCCAGCTCTTTTCCAACCTGAACCATCCTCTGTCAGTCAGTTAAGGGAGGCAGCGGCTAGGCATGCAAGCGTAGCATACGTCCTAACCACCTCTCTCAATCGATGTAACTTCACAACCAACCTGTCGATTGATTTCCCCTCCCACCTAGCCAGCGCTCGACCATCGATGCCTAATTTCAATATTGCTCATTCTAGTATACCACTACCAACTAACAGACATTGCAAGATAGAACACAGACACCTATGATTAAAGACAGCTAGCCAGTCAGGCTTTTCATGGCTTCCACTTTGAATAGCCATGTCTCGCTGACAGCCATAAAAGAGGACAGAGCGAAGTGCTGTTGAGCAGTACACACGTCCTTTGGCCGATAGCCAGCCAATCCGATATCTTACGTTTACTAAGCCAGAGAGATGGCCTTAGTTTGCGCGGGCATATGCTAAACGAGCCTTCTGTATCCGTGCTGAGATTTCGTCAGAATTGCTAGGCAGCTTCCCAAGTTCTGCTTGTTAGTTTCACCGATTTTCATATAGGTAGTCAAGCAGTGTCACTAGATGTCATGCACCGCTGCCAATTTATAATTTAACATTCTACGTGCTTCGGTTAGTCACTTAAAAGCAGGTAGATGATTTGTTTCATTATGGATAGAATTTATTTTGATAAACTTTCACAGTGTTATACAGTAATATTTACTGATGACGTTTCGAGCACAATTTATTGCTAATAATCATATCAAGGTATGACATGTGAAACTTTTTGATGTGGTTGTGTTATCTGAGGTGGATAGTTAATTTCCGAAGCTTTCATTGCCCTGCTAGGCAACATCATCAGCGCATACTTCAATGTGATGAAGTCAGCTTTTAGATTTCTCCACGAGTTTATTAGTCATCTCTCCTGGTGACCTTGAATGTGACTCTGGTTGCTTTTGTGTGTGTTTTCCCACTTTCTAGTCTACTTGTGTTGGTATTGATTGTTTCCTTCAGCTGAAGTTTTACTTCTTGTGCGGGAGATTTTCCTCTCATAGTTCGGTAAATTTTGTCTATGCCAATGTGTCTACTAATTGACGATTCACTAAAATATTAGGCTTCTAAAAATCCTCTGGCATTCTCGGTGTTTCCTCTGTCTAATATTTGAACTCTGGTTGTCCCAGTCGAATTGATTTCCGTGGTTATCTGTATGCAGTGAGTGATCTGAGGGGGTGGATGTCATGTCTTTTGACGGCTAGTTTATGTTAATGGATACGAAGACGAAGGGGACGTCCACTTTGGCCAATGTAGTGTTTTTAGCAGTTGTTATAATTTATTTTGTAGATGATGTTGGCTTTATCTTTCGTTGTTGAGACTTTTGGTTGACATAGAACTGAGTGAAGTGATTTTGTTGGTTTGTGTGCGACATCAATTCCTAAAAGTTTGAAGAATCTTGCATTGATTTCCGAGATGTCCGTTATATATGGTAAAGCGATTTTTTGTTTGTGCTTTCCTTGGGGTCCTTTAATGTGGTAGATTGGCTTGCGAGTAGATGTGTTTTGATGAAGCTTCGTGGATATCCATTCTTTTAGAAGACGTCCATGAGATATCTTTCTTTAATTTTCTTTAAAGTGGGAGTGTTGTAATGAGTCTTGGCCCTCTTGAATAATGTTTGTATATAACTCTTTTTGTAATTTTTTTGGATTTTTGATGTCATAATTGAGTATTTGGTCTGTGTGAGTTGATTTTCTGTAAACTTGAGCTTCTAATTCCCCTGTGGTTCTTCACTTGACTAAGACATCCAAAAATGGGATTTCGCTCTCGGATTCCTCTTCTCTTGTGAATTTAATGTCGTTGAAGACGTTTATTAAGTTGAGACTGTGAGACTTTATCAAAATAAATTTTACCCATAATGGAATTGTACTCTGCCACAGTGCACAAGTTTTATTCTTATATATAGATGATTTCTTTCTTTACAGAAGATTTGACTATAGACACTTACTGAATTCTAACAACATTATAAGAGAGTAATATTTTATTTCTTTAAATGGTACAACTCTGAGGTTAAGGTAAATTGGATGTAAGCGTAACATTGTGAAAAATTACACACTGTTGAAAAGCAATTGTTTTCATGTGTTCAGTTTTTTCTTCAATTTACATCATTCTACTACTTACTAGTAGCATAGTTGTTTATTGTGAAATTTCTGTCGAGTTCCAAAGTTCATTTTATCCAGACAAAAAGACTGCATCGTGAAGAAATTTTCTTTAATGATCCAATTTTACATCCACAGCATTTCCTAACTTTAAGTTTAATTTCACTTATTAGTGGTATTTCATTTACCAACGTTTATGTCACTTAGTCAAAATAAAATCTTCATCCAAGTTGTAATATGTTTTGGTGTAACCTTGTTTGTATTTGGACAGTAAATAAGTGGAACCTAAATAGTTCTGAGTTCCATCGCTGGTGGGATCATGAATGCACACTGATGAAGAGCCCCCAAATAGAGCGAAACATCTCTCGTATGCTCCGTCATTGGTTGCCTTATAGGAAGTCTACATTGGAATTATAAACAAACAGCTAATAACAGCTAATAACCTCACGACAGACGACAAATAAAGCACCTGGTTAGAAACAAGTTGATATGTATTCAACACAATTAAGATATGCTGTTTTAATTTCAGTCCTAAGAAAAAGACGTGAACAGTGAAGAAAATTTTCACCTCGATGATTCATTTTCATAAGCTGCTGTACAATCGTAATTATATTTTATAAGGAATTCATAAGACAACCAATCAGATACTGGTAAACTTTGTCCTCGGAAAATGTGTTACATAATGTAAGGTGTAATCTAGAGGGGGTGACTAATTGGAAATTAGGAAAAGAGGGCAGGAGTTTGTATGATGTAATAAGTGTGAGATAATGACTAATCAATAAGCTCGTGTAAAATGGACAGGAACTAGTGGAAAGGCGATAGTTTTTTTATATAAAATCTGTATGAAAACGCAGTTATTAATAAAGAGTAGTAGTGTGATAATAAAATAAGGATGATGAGAACAATAATAATAGTAAATTTACATATTAAAGTAAAGCATAATTGTGGTGAGAATGTTGCTGTGACCCCGGTAGGGCCAGTGAATAAATGTAGTGCTTTTGAAAGGAGAGGTCTGGTTTCAGATCCCCTCGAATAGCCAATGACTCAGCTACGTACATATGGTGTATTCAAAGTCCTTTCGTACGACACTGAGGGATTCTGTGTAGCACTTTGAAGCATTAAAGTAGGGGCGCTGGATGTCCATAGCGTTGACAAGGTGCTCGAGGATGGTATGAAGCTGCTAGTTATTCTTCTTTTCTCCTCTAGCTAGCTACTCAGTTTGGACAGTGTTCCAGAATACGTTTATGGAGTTGACGTTGCGTACGGTCGACATACTTGGCTCCACACGAACAAGTAAGTAAACTGATAAATACACATTGAGGTGGCCAAAAGCGGTATCTTATCGTTCAGCGTTAGGCTGACTGGATCGACCGTCTGCTGGCGTATGTCTTCTTCAAACACTTAGAATGGTAGTTTCTAAGAATTTCGGCTTTGATGTAACTCCTTTCAATCCCTTACAGTAAATCATGTTTTCTGTGCTTTTCCAATTATGATCTCTTTTGCATATGATTCAGCCATTCAGTCGGCAGGAGTGACTTTGAGTTTGAAACTATTGCATCATTTAGCCTTATATTTCCTTTCCATTAGAATATCTCTTTAGGGTTTGTTTTCATATTATGAAGTGCTATTTTTATCACAAATGCTCTTGTTTTTGCTCACTCTTATATAATTCATGAAATTATTTTCATCATCACGGTCATTTCGATTAGTTGTAATACTTTTAATATCCCGTTTTGCTTTTTTCATCTTCTTTGTAATTATTATTCGTGTAGAAAGCGTAGAAAATCTTATGTATATATCTTTATATGCGTTTTCATCTATTTTTATCAATGTCCTCCTTATCATCTATGAGTGCTCATTTTTTTCATTTATTTACAGTTTTTTCTATCTTCTTATCGTATCGAATGTGTAATTATTGCTAAAGACTGATCAGTTGAGTGGAAAACTGATTTTAATGCATGTTTCTCTTTTTCGAAGGGAAAAGGCAAAGTGACGGGTGTCTTCGATTAAGGCTAATTTATGAATATTATTATTATTATATATTCCTTTGGATTTGGAAATGGAGATGGGTAGATCGAGAGTACGTCTAGGCGGCCGTTGAATGATATCGCGTGCAATGCAGGCCATTGCTCGAATGGAATCCTCAATGGGAGGTGACGAGTGTGTGTCGTCACTTCGAAGTTGACATGGAGGAGATCGTGTGTTGGGGAGAAGGAGGAGGAGATGAGAGATTATGGGCAGTCGTGGACCCATCTGAAGCGGAGAGCAGAAAATAGAACAAATAATATTAATGATAGCATATCTGCGCTTCAGTCAGTTCTCCCTACTGTCTTTTCAAGCTGGTAACACTATTGCTTGCTCATAGGCTTTCATTTTCTGCTTAAACAAATCTCCTGCATCTAACCCTCGAACCCACTTCGAACTCGCATTGCTTTCTATTCGGGTTTTGTTCGTCTTATCTTTATGCCTAATTTTTCTCCTAACGAAAGGAGACATCGGTTGACTACTGACCTTCTGAATGCTCTCATCATCTTTCACCATGTCATTGCGCTTCTCTTTTATTGCAGCGAAGAATTAGTTTATTTCTTATAATTCTCTTGTGTGTTTTGATTTTAACTGTAGCGATTAGATTGATTTTCTTGGGTAGGCTCGCTACCCCTCACCACACACACACACCCCTCCGGACCTCTTTTCTCGGACTTATTTCTAACATTTGAAGATTTAAAAAAAGAAAACATTCAGTTATGTGTAAATATCCTTTGAAATTTGTAAACAAACAGATCGCTCCGGAGTTAGATTGGTTTAACTAAAGTGGGTACATCATTTCAGGTAGCTAGACTTTAAAATAACGTGTTAAGTTTAGGAAATTGATAGTAATCGGATAATACTGATTGTACAAGTTGAGTGTTTTAGAAAATACTGGGATTATCACTGGAATTTTCACTTCAACCCTGGCAAAAATGATTAAAGATAGACTCTAATAACTCTATATTAGATAAGTTTTTTTAAATATCATACAGCGATGATGATGATGCAGTATTAACAACTGTATGACAAGATTTCGAGTATCGTTTATTACCATCCATAATCATAATGAAATCAACCAAATAAAGGAAATATTCCAAGTGGATAACACACTACCCACCAGAATTTATTCAGAAATATATGAAGAACTATAAAAAAAGGTAAGATTAGCAATAAAAGTGATGAAAATAGCGAAAGTAATGTAGAATTCAAAGCCTCTGTAATACTGCTGTATGAAGAATGAACGTCAGAAGCCTTACTTAGGATTCTCAATGACGCTGGAATTAGGGTGGCACATTTAAACCAACTAACCAACTCTCTCAGAGATAAACTTTGTCGGCTTATGGACCCAATAAATTAAATTAAGAAATATAATATAATTCACGAAATATCATGTAATGCTGTACAGTGAGGACAATTACATAGGTCATCAAACTATTAGATTAGGGTCAACTAGATTACTGGAACATAAAAATTTAGCTAGACCTAGACTGATGATTGACCCTCCTAAGTTAAATAACCTAGAAAAAAACGGAACTCAGCCATTGCATTCAATGCACTCACTTGCATGTAATCACACAATAGGTTGAGTGGGACAGGGTGAGAGTATTAAAAATTAATAATAGTTAGGTGGAGAGAGAGAGAGACAGAGAGGTGAATGACTGAATCTTTGTTTATCAATCCAACACCTTACACGTGCAGACAATTGGAATGACGCAACGCTTATCCCGGAGATGTAGAAAGTGGCAACAAACAACAAAGGGAATTTGAAGAGAGAGACGGAATAGAGAATATATATATATATATATATATATAAGACAAATTGTGAAACAGTGTAATTCAAATTGATATGATTATGAGTGGCAATAATACATTATGCTCGAAACCTTGTCATCCAGTTGTTAATACTGCATCATCATCACTGTGTGTGATATTGAAAATAAACTTATCTAAGATGGAATTACATTCTACCACCACAGTGCCCACGTTCTACGTTTACATTAAATAATTCCCATTGTAACATTAAGAACATAGTATTCAGCTAAGAGACTCTTTTCAACAACGAATTTACTATCAAGATGTACAATCGTACATATACATATATATATGTGGTTTTTTTAAGAAATTATATCCTGTGAGGGAATTGAATCGAAGGTGTGAATTCATGAAATAATAATAATAATAATATGAAGTGCAATTAAAATATCTGTGATTATAATCATAGTTAAATGTCAAGTGGCAAAGTAATTAATCACATATATAGAATAATACATAATGTGTATAGATGTTGCAAAGGGGTGCATAATTATAGGATTATTAGGTGAATATGAAATGTTACATAACATGGTGTGAAATTTGATAAGATAGAATTCAATATTGTAAAAACAAAAAATAATAATTTTGGATTTAGAATGACAAGTGGGAACAATTCAGAGTGAGAATAGTAATAATAATAATGATAATAATCGTCGTAATAAGGGAAGAGTACATAGAATAACTAAATAAACAAAATAAATAAATGTCTATCCATCTACGGCCAAGGTAAAAGTAGGGATTGTACATACTTCTTTTGTACACAAAGGTCTGGTTTAAAGTCATGAATGGCCAAGGCCTCAGCTGTCTTTAGAAGTCTATAACGAAGAAAACGCGGAAAGTTAGCATGGATTCTATATATTATCTTGAAATCATGGTCAGGGTTGACAGAGTGGCAGAAGTCGATTAGGTGTTCCAGAATAGAGCTTATGTATTACTCTATATATGTGATTAATTACTTTGCCACTTGACATTTAACTATGATTATAATCACAAATATTTTAGTTACATTTCATACGATTATTATTTCATGTATTCACATCTTTGACCTAATTCCCTCACAGGATATAATTTCTTAAAAAATCCACATATATATATATATGTATATGTACGATTGTACATCTTGATAGTAAATTCGTTGTTGAAAAGAGTCTCCTCACTGAATATTGTGTTCTTAAATTTACATTAAAGACTCTAATCATCTTTTGCAGATAGCATTTATCATGAAAAGAAACTTTGTCTTTCTAAGTACCTGCTGTTTTGATTTCTTTATAGCAAAAATATTCATTCAGACATCTATAAAACACAAAATAACTGAGCAAAGAATATCCTTTTCGATAAATTCCTCTTCTGGCTTTACAATAATATATATATGGCTATATACATAGAGTATTCTAGAATGGTAGTCAATAACAATATTGGTGTTTTTTAAATAATATTGATTTGTCAAGTAAATCAATGGGATTACAGTTCATTAAAGATGCTTCAATTATTATAATAATAGTAATAATAATAATAAAGATATAGTAGCAAATAGAATATCAACTAAAATTAGAAAAATTCCACAAGAATTCAGGATCATTCAAACCTAGATGGTCAAGGTAAGGGCAATGTCTGAACTAGCTTCTTTTGGATGCACAAATTAGGCTTCTTAATGTGGATCCCAACAGCCTCAGCAATTACTAAATATTGATTTAGTAATCGAACTCTTAAAGCGAAATTGAGATTTGTTGGAATGCGGTAAATGACCCTAAAAGCATGGTTAACATCAATCTTGTGTTCTGTATCCACGAGATGAGATAGAATAGCGCTGCGAATAGATTTTGTTTGTCCTTTACTTAACCACACAGGGTGATGTTCGGAAATTCGACGAGAAACACGCCTAATTGCACGACCTTTGCAAGTAACTGGCTCCACAGGAGCAGTTAAATTGGTAGATACACATGGAAGAGGCGAAATTAGGCAGTTTATCTTTTACTCCCGAATGCAAAAGAGGAGTGGTTTAGAAGACACAGCGTAATTTGGTAGCAGGGAATGCTCTTTGTACCGCATTTCTAAGGCGACGTGTTAGTATCTCACTGATGTTGTCCCCAAGGGACTGCATTTGTAAGAATAAGACCTTTTTCGGGACTGTTGGTACTCTGGCCTGCCCTGACTCTCGATTCATATTCTTGTGGATGAAGTTTTCCGAGTAACTGTTCTCACTCAGCAACTGTGTAATGATATTAACCTTTTCATTAATACATTCATCAGAGAAGATTGCTCTTGCTCTGTGGCGGACCAAGCACTTTATCAGATTGCGTTTGTATTTCAAGGGCACGAAGCTGAAAAATTGAGTATGTTAATCAGTTGATTTAGGTTTTCTATATACACTTCTTCTTATTGTGCCATCCTCTTTTCTGGTCATAAGGATATTATTTACAAAACACTAATATTGTTATCGACTGCTATTCTAGAATATTTTGTGTATAAACATATATATGTATAATTATATATATAACTTTAGAACTAGAAGAGGAAATTATCGAAAAGGATATTCTTTGCTCAATTATTTTTTGCTTTGATTTCTGTAGATATTATCAACATAAAAGAATAGAAACACGATAGCGAAAACGTTTTTTATTTAGGGTCTCGAGATAAAATGATTGTGTGTGTGTGCGTGTGTGTTAAAGTGAGACTTGTTTTTCCTAACCAAATTACATCTCTCTCTCTCTCTTTCTTTCCGTTGTAATCACAAATAGCATTTAGTTTGGATGTTGAGCTTGAAAATTGAACCGTCAGCCAAGTTATTTTTTAAAGCAGTCCATGACTCGGGGACAACTGGTAGTACACCATCAGAAAGTGTTGTTAATTTAACAAATACAATCAATGAGAAGAATACACCACCAACAACAACAACTAGCACTGCTGGTGGTGGACATGGACAACAGACTTCAGTGTCAACTCATGCATCAATTTCATCTGAATTAACCTTGTTATCATCAATGTTGACACAAATTTTTATTCAATCAAGGTAAGTTAGTATATATTTATGTATGACTGTGTATGAGAAATAAGTCAGTCCTGCTGCTGTTGTACAGTCTGTTACATATAGCTCACAGACACAATTCCAAGATGTATGCTTTCCTGTTGATGTCAATTCTGTTAACATCATCGTCTCATTGCTATCTGGCCATCATTCACAAAACGGTAACAAGACAGATAACCAGTGTGGCTAGGAAGCTCCCGACTAACCTGAACATTACCTTAAACACGAAAGAACCAGGCAGGCTTTAGACCAGGAAGAGGGTGTATTGATCATATTTTTCCCCCTTCAACAGATTCTAGAACATAGGCATTCCTACCGGCGTCCAACAATCATTATATTTCTTAACCTAAAGGCAGCATTCGATTCTGTCGACCGAGAGGTACTCTGGCGATGCTTGGCTGTAAAGGGAATGCCGAGAAAATACATTGCACTGATCAAAGCACTCTACTCGAACTCATGCAGCCAGGTGAGCGCTTACGCCAAGTTGTCATCCGAAGTGGTGACGACTAGTGGTGTCCGTCAGGGATGCCCATTATCCCCATTTCTACTCAGTTTCATCATAGATGTACTAATGGACTTAACCCTAGGTGACTTCGGTGACTCAGAGATTGACTTGTTACTACCAGGGAATAATCTAGTTGATTTAGAATATGCAGACGATATAGTCCTCTTCTAGGCGAGGAGGCTGACAAAATGCAGAGTCTACTGAACACCTTGAGCTGCAATCTACGAATGTTTGGCATGCGATTCGACCCTGTAAAATGTAAGGTGATGTTACAGAACTGGACTACACCGACTCTTAGTTTAGAAATAAGGAGTGAAGTGGTAAAGCACGTCGACTGCTTCACTTGGGAATTACCATCAGGCCCAACGGGTTGATCTCTGACGAAATCTCAGCACGAATACAGAGGGCTAGTTTTGCATATGCCAGTTTACACCGTCTCTGGCGTAGACGTGATATCCGACTATCGACCAAAGGGCGTGTGTACTGCTCATCAGTCCTCTGCGTACTCCTTTATGGCTGTGAGACCTGGCTACTGAGAATGGAAGACATGAAAAGATTATCTGTCTTTGATCATAGGTACCTGCGTTCTATCTCCCGTATCAGGTGGTATAGTACGGTGAGCAATGTTGAGGTTACGCATCGGTGATCGAGTGCTACGTAGGTGGGAGGGGAAATCAATCGACGAGGCTGTGCAACTACATCGACTGAGATGGTTAGGACATGTGTTACGTACGCCTAGTCATCGTCTTCCTCGACGGGTAATGTTAGCTGACATAGGATCAGTCTGGGAAAGAGCTAGCGGTGGTCAAACCAAAACATGAATCCATCAGTCCGTGAAATCCACAACAGTTAGTTTAAGCTAGCCACACAGGGAGGTGTAGACTTCCTAGTTGAAGCCCTCGGGACGGTGAAAACCAATGGTTGGAAACAATCGGTGATAGGGCTCAAAATCGTCGTTGTCAATGGCTGGCGCAGACGCATCCACTCCTTGTGACTTCTGATTTCTGATGAAACTGTTTTGTTCTTCGTTATTACTATACCTTTTTCTCACACCTCTGTTTACTGTCTATACTACGCATTTCTCCTACTTTCTTCTCTTGCTATGTGTGCTACATGGAGAGAGTGTGGCGACTTGAACTGTCTCACATCGGTGCAAAGTTCTATGTCGAGAACAAACAGACAGACATTACCTTCACGTTGTCCAAACCGCCACATGCTACATAATTACCTGAAGGTGAGTATGCGCATGTCATGACCCAGCTGCTTCTCAAAAGAATAGCATGAACCTTGTAGGTATATCCGTCCCATACAATTTACTTTCGATCTTGCAAAGCTGATACTAGATTACGCGAATCTGAACACCAATGCATAGCATACATTTTTGCCAAGTGGCCCCGCAAAGTCCTCCTGCTTCGCAGTTGAGTACGATTAATATCCTCCACATTCGCAGTTGCTTGTTGTAAAGTAATATCAGCAGCAACTCTTCGTGCTTCTCTTATTTGACTCTTAAGTTGCTCCGTTTCTTGACGCAGCTGATTTAGCTCGCCCATATTGCGTTATGATGGGAATATTAATGTCAAAATGGAAGATATACTACACTACACATCGATCTTGACCAACATTGCAGGTGTTTAAGAAAATGGTGAGACCTTCGATAGAAAATATATTAATGTGTGTGTGGATGGGGAGGGGGAACTTTCCTAATTTCATGCATTTATTCCATTTTATGAATTTGAATAAAGCAAGAACAACAGTGCTGGTTTGTGCAGAATACAAGGTGGTACCATCCTTTTGTTTATTTCGTTGGCTTCCCATCAGCCGCCTGCTTACAGTCTAAATAAATTATGATTAAGTTCATTTACAGAGAAGTGTTAACATACTTGCAAATTTTACATGATGTCAGTCAACAGGATGTTTTGAACTTGGTGAACAGTGCTCAGAAAATTGCGCTTATATAGTTTTCGCACAGACAGTTCAAGTTTAAACAAAGTAAATGTATGCATGCATACAATGGTAAATGAGTTACGTAATGAAGACGAGAGTTGTGTAAGATGATGAGTAACTAATACACTAGGTGACAATATACTGAGTTCAACTCAAATCATAGAAACACGAGACAAGCAAAATTACAATATATCAAAGTCGGTGTGGTGTGGGATTAAAGCCGAACATTACGTAATCAGATGAGAGGGAAAGGCAGTGAAGATATCCCGTTACCAGGATGGGGGCAAGAAAAGACTGATGCTAACTGCTTCTCTCTGAATACACACACATGAATTCGGTTTCTGGCGTTTGATAGAGATTGCTTCTGCAAACTTGAGGAGGATTAAACTTTTTTGTCTATTGATAATTTTAAAGGATTTCACGCTGCCCACCTCATGTCCCGTATCAAGGAGATACCTGTTAATGGCATATTGCAAGTAGGGGATGGTTCCCCTTCTGGAGACGTAGGCTTTTCGGTACATGTTCAGAAGATCGTAGGTTTGCATGCCTGCTTAATATTTGTTCTCTCAACGTAACTGCTTCTGCAGATACACGTAAATTTGTATACACATGAGAAGGGTATCTGTCGACTTTTGACTTCACCAAGGAGCATGTTGTCTGATAGACGGGAACCATCTTAACCAGCTGCAAGATAGGCTCTGGCGAGTGACTTACTCACTCTTCTCTCGACTATTGCTGGAAAATTTATTTAGGCTGTAAGCAAGCAGCTGATGCGAAGCCAATGAAATAAGCAATGATGGTACCATATTATTCTGCAAAAACTTTCCTAATTTTTATTACTATTATTATTTCGTTACTAGGTAATATTGACACAAAATATATATTCATCTAATTGATTTTGTATAATAATTCTTTAACTGAACATTAATTGACTTTTTATGAAATTATCCAATAATGCAATATGCATTTTCAATCCTTTTGCTCTTATCTCATCACTGATGGATTTTCAATGCCGAAATAGTCATTTGAGTGTGAACGCTTTACACAGTCTCATCTCAGCCCTTTGCCGTTTATCATCGGATACACTAGAAGCAGTGAAAAATAACCGAGTAAGTTTCAGTTTGCATGTTTTTTTTCTTCTGTTTCAGTTTATACTACTATTTTACGGGTACTGTTTCTTCATCCTCATCTGTGTATTGGGGTCAAGTTAAACATTAAGCACCACTAACTACCAATCAGCGATTAACCTCAAATAGTCCAATGCGGTTCATGCACGTGAGTTCAAGGTTGTATTGCGCTTGATTCGTATCAAATGCCTGCTGTAACGAAGTTACGCTCGCAGTATTACCTGGATTCAGCATTGCTTAGCAAGGAGAGGATTTGTTCATTTAGAGGTAGCATGAATTTAAAAAGCTTTATCAGGTCGATTGATGGATATGTCCATCGTTATGCAATTTACTTGAGACTAGTTAGTATTAGGGAAGGTAAGCTGATAATTTTAATATTTCGTAGCAACATATTTTGCTAGATCGCATCGCTCCCTAACCCAGATTTTGTGTATTTGTAATTACTGGGTTTTAAAACAGGCTGTGAGAGGCACAGCTGCTGAAGCCGAAAATAGCCTCGTGTCAATAGTTCAGTGGTACTAGCACTGCAGAGACATCACCTCATGGAAAATGGAGAGAATTACTACGTTGATAGGCGGAGAAGGTGTCATAGTACACTCGGACGAAACTGTCTTATTGAAGAAAAACTCCTACTGTGGTCGTGAGCCAGCCAACAATGTTTAGGTGATCGGTTTATATGACACCTCCCTGCAGAAACGATTCGTGGAGAGAATACCAGACAGAAAGTCTACTCCCTTAGTACCTATTGTCACTCGACTGGTGAAACAGGGATCTGATGAATGGAAAGGTTATAACTCACTGTCATCCCTTGAATGTATTCATCACAGAGTGAAGCATTCTAGTGATTTTGTGGATCCAATTACAGTGACACACATGAATTCTATAGAAGGATTTCGGGGAAGATTAACAAATAGGATTAGGGCTATATATAGAGACCTCAAAAAGATGTCATTTTTAGTCATTTGGATGAATATATGTACAGAATATGTGGGGTGTAACTTTTCTATTGACACTCGTGTGCTAAACTGGAAGATGTTTCTGTCACATGTTAGAGAAACATACCCCACGTAACAGTTTTATGAAGTTCTTATGCTTTTTTTCCATAAATATACTTTTCTATAGTTTGGTTTGTAAGGGTTAGTTATGTTTTTACGAGTTGATTGATATCAGTTAGAGAACCATTGAAAACCAGGGAGTACTTACCTTGTAACCGGAAGGTCCTGGGTTCGAATCCCAGTGTGTGCGTACTGCCTATGAGGATTCCCAAACTAGAATGAAACAGCTGTCCAGTACTCCAGTGCTGGTTTTCAATGGTTCTCTAACTGATATCAATCCGTGATCAACCCATAAATATACATTTTCCATGATCAAAATTCCCTCTTTCGTGTGATTGGTTCGTTGAAGGCCGTTCGCTGATTGGTAGTTAGTTTTGCTTAATGTTTAACTTTGCCAAGATTTTCATTTCTTTATAATAAGAAAACTTTGTTAAATCTTACTTAAGCAGTATTTTTTTCCATGGATTAAATTCACTCTTAATTTTTGCATAATCCATTATTATATGGCAGGAAATTAGAGAGAGAGAGAGAAGCAATTCTCTTTCATAATAATAATAACTTTTTAATGCGTAGGACATTTTCCCTTGTTTTCAGTTTCTAGTTTAGGTTACTGTCGTTATATATATATATATATATATATATATATATATATATATATATATGCAGATGAACACATGAGAATTTAAGCAATTAAGTATTTTTACTTCAAATCACTGAATAATTCATCATTGGATCATAAGAATTATTAAAAAGACGGTTACAGAGATGAAAACGAAGAAGAAGGGGAAATTTTCTTTTCAAAAAATTCTTCAACAAAACAGCTGTACATTCGTGTATTATTTATAAGTAGGGTGGTGGTGCGGGTGGTGTGATACAGACAATGTTTGCCAACGGTATGTTAAATTTCACATATTCCCTACAGTTCAATTAGGCATTAGCAACGACAGAATATGATATATCTGCTTGAACATTCTATTTGATGTTAGAGTCGGAATGTTTTTATTCACACAGTTCACTACTGCACTGGCACCAGAATACTATGTATCTGTTTGAACCTTCTATTTCTTGTCATTTAATCTAAAACCGAAATCGCTATCTCAGTGATTGGTTAAACTGCATAGATATGTAAATAGCGGTTTGATCAGTTGAAACTATACGTTTGCTTCCGTGTCTTGCCTTGTGTTGTTACAGTAGTGTGTGAGAAAGTTCCAGAATTATTTCCATTTAAGTGTCAAATTAATAAAATTACAAAGTGTAATAAAGACATAATAAGATCATTATTACGGAAAAACTTGACTGTTTGTACAAATTACGGATTAAGGACGTAGTAATAGCAAAATAGGCAGGAAGTTCAAATATATATATATATATATATATATATATATATATATAATATGCATATACCAGTTCACTTGCTCGTGTGGAGCAGAGTACACTGGCCCTACCATGCGTCTGCTTGTAAAATGAGCTCGGGAACACTCTCCAAGTTGGTTAGCAAAAGGAGAATGCAAGGGTGGATGCAGTTCGGTACCAGAACATCTGCTGGTGAATTCACGCAATCCAGCTCCATTTGAAAAGTCCTTCAAAGTTGTTTAGAGAAGATCCGATCAAGCCTATCAAAAGGAGTGAAGTCAAGGCATTTAGGAATAGCTGAGGCACTGGCGATCCAAAAGCTCAAGCCCACACTATGTGTTCAAAAGAAATACGTCTAACCGTTTTGTGCCTACTGTGGCCATTATAAAAAGTCAGTCCCACTAATAATAATTATCCTGTTACCTTTCTTATCCAAGCTTCCAGTTTTATTGTGTTATTTTTACTTTTTCAATTACTAGATTTGGTTGTATTTTTATATCCGAACTTCCTGTCTGTTTTGTTATTTATACGTCCTTAATCTGTAATCTGTACAGACAGTCAAGTTTTTCAGTAATTATGATCTAACGGATGTCAGCTCAAGTTGAAATCCTCCATTCACTCAAACAAAATTCCTACAAAACCACTACTTAAAAATTATGATCTTCTTACGTCTTTATTACACTTTGTAATTTTATTCATTTGACCTTTGACCGGAAATAATTCTGGAACTTACTCACACACTTACTATAAATACACGAATGTAAAGCCTAGTTGATGACTTCGTCGAAAAATTTTTTTCCTCTACAACCATCTTTTTAATAATTAAGTATTTGTGGAAACCTAGTAAATAAGTGGACACGTTTGTGCTACTATGAATGACTTCGAAAAAAAACTATTTAATTTTTGCCTTTACCAAGATTCCACGGTGTTTGGGCAGCAGTGAAGTAATAACCGCCGACACACTCCCGAAAGCACACGTCTCATATTTCTATGTATCATCTGTCTTTTGAATCTCACTTTTCTCTTGCTTTGTGTCCTACAAGCAGGGAAAGTGTGGCAATTCGAACTGGTGTACATCTGTGCAAAATTCAACGTTGAAACCAGACAGTCAGTCAGTTAGTCAGTCACTCCAGGATTCCACACACATGAAGTGTATACAGTCAATAGATTGTGCTCGAAACTTGGTCATCAGTTAATATTACTGTACAACGCCACTGTGTGATTTATCAAAATAAAATCTTATCTATAGTGGAGTTATACTCTTCCAAGGGGCCCAAGTTTTATACTTATATACAGTCAAACACTATTGGTCAGTGTTATATTTTAGTCTGGAAGTCTCTACTTCCCTTCTATAATACAATCTTGCTCCAATAGGCAAGTAGTTATTGAAGAAAGCATTAATTCTTCATGTTTAACACAACAACTCAGACAACTCAGTAATAGAGATGACTATTAAACATCCTGTGAATGGATTGACTTTTTTTAAAATTTATCTAAAGCTCTGCGTCTGATTTCAATAGTTTTTTTTATCCGTGTGGTTTCACCTCATGTGACTACTATAAGTTATTTAGAATTTGAACAATACACTCAAAATAATCTAGCTTCCTTTTTGTCTGATTACTGTTGCTGTTATTATCAATTTAATGGAGGGAGACATACTAACTATTTCAATTGTCAATCAACGTGTAGACAGTTATTGAAAATTCATGTGATTCTTTACTCTTGTCGATGTCTTTTTTTGTTGTTTTTTTCTTTTGTTACGCTGAGTTTTACACTGTTTAGCACTAAATATCAGCTAGTCGAGTTTTCCTAATTTCGCATCCTATCACCCAGTTAAATTCGTTGCATTTGGTTCCTATAAGTGAGATTGTGACACCGAACTGACCATTGAAGTTGACATACATATTATCCGATAATCAAATCAAATGCATCGAAAAAGTTCATTATTTCGAAAAAATGTCTATGTATGAAAAGTCTATTTTATTCCCTCTACCGACACAAGGTATTTGACTGCTCATAGACCTAGGTTTCGTTCGTGTTGATTGGCACTCACTAGTCAGCAAGGCCGGCGTATCTGCAACCTTGAATGAAGAAATCCATATCCCTCCTCCTGAGATTCGAACCTGCTTCACCACCCAGTGCTGCCTGTAGTCGGTCAGAGACATCACCACTGAGTAGCTATTCGGGCTGGCGATTGACCGACTTCCTGTAGGACTGACTGTATTGGATACTTCGATCGGATACTAGTAAGTAAGTTAAAGTGGTAATCTGCACCAATTGAGATGTTTTACATATATAATAAGGTGATCCAAAATCTCGGGAACACAGTAAAAAGACAGGTGACACAATAATATATTTCAGATTATCGCTAAACAATTAGCTATTCAGTATCATAAAGGTAGATCGAAAATCTATATTAATTAGTATATGACATTTAGGGTTTATATGTGGACATTTAAAATCAACTTTTTTATTTTTGCTTATTTTTATTTTTTATATTTCTTCATGTTCCCAGTGGAGCATAAGGCTTCAAGCTAGAGACTTGAAGTTTCTGTGGCAGTGTTTATTTTTACA